CCAACGTGCAGAACGCTAGATCTTGCACCTCCCATGCCCTATAAACTACAAACATTAAACCCTGAACCCCGTGAACCCTAAACCCGCTGAAGGCTTTGTAATGAAGCAGGGAAGGTTGCCTCTGGGCCGGAGATGCACTGCCCCAAAACATTCCCCAAAAAAAACCAAAGACTTCCGGCGCACATAATCGGAGGACCCGCCCTGAAGCGCTGAGCTCCAGATTGGCAGGTCCTCTAACAGGGATTATAGTAGAAAAGGGTATATGACCCCCAATTTTGGGTTCATTTTGTCCTCTAGACCTATGAACAAGGGCCTCATCGCACACTCCGAGCTGAATGCCCAATCTTCTCAGACGGAAGGTTCGCTCAAGGGCATGGAGCCTTTTGCATGTCGGATGAGCTTGAGACCCTTGTGCTGGGAACGAAGAGTAGGAAGTCGCCAGCTGCTTAGCTCATGAAAGGAACTGCCTTTCACAGCGGCGAGGCCTCAGAGCCTGCGGCAAGGCAATGCCTCCAATCCGCTCCGGCGCTGGACCCTCCAGATCGAGACTAGGGCACCGTCCGCATCCCATGCAAAGGCATCAACTTCCTTAGATCTCGGAAGTCCAGACCCATGGAGATGGCATCTCAGGGTTTTTGAGCGGTCCAGCACCTTCTGGCAATACAAAAGGATCGGGGCGGAAACTTGATTTCGTGGTCCGCCCCAGCTGGGAACGACTTGTGAAGTCGGGAGGCATGAGAGTGCTTTAAATAGGCCGTGAGCGGCCTGCTCGACATGCGCTAGTTAGTGCACCAGGCGAATGGGAACAAAAGTGAAAGTTGTAAAACGAACTCGCACTTCCAAGACTGTGCCGATGCCGAGGTCGAAGTCCAACATGTGGTGGCCAAACTGCAGGACTGCATCTGGGCAGCAGGCCGCCAACAAGTGTAGCATGCGACGGGGCGCCATGAAGCGAACTGCGCATCTTAGGCAGAGCGACGGGAGTACCGACACTAGCGTCTACTGTGTCTCGGGCATTCTGCACGCTTGCACACTGCAGAAGAAGCGGAGGGGGTCCGCGCTGCCCTCAGGGGTCTCTATCCTTGAAAACGCTTGGCATCGGTCTGCGACGTCCTGTATCTGAATCTCAGCTTTTTAGCCAACAGTGTCGCAAGGAGGTTTAACTCCTTCGTGATCGGCGCCTCTCTCCTTAGCTTACAGGCGATACAAAAGTGTGGCAACTCTACCCAAAATGCCCGAAAGCTCCTTAAAAGCCTAAGCCCTAAACTTCCTGAACCCTGAACCTCCCCCGCGCTTACAGCCGAGAGGCCAGCGTCGCTGGGCCTGGGCCTGGGTCTTCGGGGTCTTCGGGGTCTTCGCCTGCGCTTGAGCGCTCCGCGAGACTGGTGGTTCGGTGCCCGGGTTGCTAAGGGGCTTTCGCTACCAAGGGCTACCAGGGCACTACCTAGCTAAGATCGTGAGTTGTTATTGATTTTTTTTGATTTTTTGAGTTCTTGAAGTTGTAGCGAATGCAACAGGGCCATCAGATCTTCCCGAATTATAGGATGTCGATCTGGGATTTGAAGGGTTGGCTCCGTCACAGCCAGGGGAACGAGAACCCCCCGAAGGCCAGAGAAGGTCATCCTTCTGTAAATTCCAGGGCTTCAAGGGTTTAGGGTTTCTAGCGACCAGTAGACACCACTCTAATTTAAGGCCCTCTTTGGACTGGTAGGCCTGCAATGCCAGCAGGATGATGACAAGCTCCGGCAAAAACATATCCAACCGGAACTGTTGCCCTGCGACTTCGCGCTATTCTTCGATCTTACCACATGTCTTGTTCTCATTATGTTTCAAGTAGCTGCAGAAACCCTCCCGCTCAACAGATCATCTGTGTTTCCGAGGCTTCTCGCTCGCCCAAGCTTATGCCATGTGACGCTTTGTTGGTTTCTGGGGTGCAGGCTCTACGGCTCAGGTGTCAGGCTTCTAGCTGCTTGGGGCAGTCCAACAATGTCCAACTGCGCAGGCAAAGATATCGAGGGTTCATTAGAGCCAGGGCTCCATATTTGGCACCTGCCCAATACATCGCCCGCTCACCGACATGGATCCACAGACCCTCAACTCCGCTATGCTCCGCACCTCACCATACCGGACTACACCCTAGGCGCTAGGCTCTAAACTCCAGGCTCCACTGCATCGCCCAACGCCTTAAAAGCGCCATGCTACACCCCCAGCCTGCACCCAAAGCAAAGTGCGCCGGGGCCCAGAGCGCATGGCGAGTGGGCTTCGAATTGGGGGAAAGGATCTCCGCTAGAGTTGGATGTCGCTAAGACTGGTCTGGGAAGAAAGTCTTGTCTGCACTGTGCGATGTCATGCCATCTCGTGCCGGTCCCCAGCATGTTCGTGCTTCATGGATACCTCTTCGGTGCAATCTCGTGCCATGGAGCTCCGTAAGTGAAGGTTCAACTCACCCTTCTGGTGCAGCCGGCGCGTGAAGCAGCAACGCTTGTGACGCCTGTGGTTCATGCACACATCCCACGGGGCTTAGCATTAAGCTCGGGAAGCAGGTCAAGTGCTGGGTAGATGCTGAACACATCACGAGCCCGGAACCCAAGCCCGAACTCCAACCCTGTCAGACAAACCAACTTCGCCCAGACAAAACAACCAACCAAACAAACAATACAAAAAACAGATTTCCGAAACTCTTGGAAGAAAAGGAAAACCAAAAGTCCCAAACCAAAAAACAAACGATTTCAAACACAAAACATTATTCCGAATCATTGCCCCTTGACGTCAAGAGTTTGGAAGCAATCCTTGTTCGTTTTTTGTATGTGTTTTTTGTTGGTTTTGTTTTCGTTTTGGTTTGGGTTGTTTTGGTTTGACTTTTTCAAGAGTCTCAGAATAATGTTTTGTGTTTTTGGTTTCGGAGTTTGGCTTGGGCTTTTGGCATCCTGATTTTAGTGTTTTGGTTCTGGAAACCTGTAGATGTAGATTTTTTTTTTTTTTTTTGGGGGGGGGGGGGGCGGGGAGCAATCAGATATACATGTAGGACCATATATACACACAGGGGATGATATATATATATATATATACACACACATATATATATATAAATAGGAATTGCGGATCATCGTCTTCAGGGCTTCAGGAGATCCTGCGCAGCTTCCTCTTTCTCCTGTCAGAGATCTGTAACGTCTGCCTGCAACGGGCGACGAAGTACTCAAGGAACATAGGGCTTGCTTTCTAATGCACCCCCGACAGACCAGGCTAGTCAGGTACCTGTAACCTAAGAATCGAAACAGCACACGTTTTTGCATTTGTGGAGAAAAAGGAGCCAGGCCAAGCCAAGCCACACCTAAAGAAACAGGGTCTTCAACCTGCAAACACTGTCCTACAGGTGAGCCCTGTGCGAGATCGATTTTGTGAAGCATGGCATGGAATGTTTACCGAGCAGGGTCGAAATTGTGCACTCGTTCTTCAGTCCTACTGCGACAGATGTGCAAGCACCACTCGGATCTGACCGCCTCGCACTGAACAAGCGTAGAGCGCAAAAACTCCATCGCCTTGGGTCCTATCAAACTCTATCTGTGGCTTGCAGGTCGAGCTGCAACATGCATCACGTGGTAGATGCCGCTGTGAAAACCCGTGAATGTACAGCTCTATAATATGTGAATCGAACTGGCCTTCTTGCCTTTCTCTGCTAAGGCCGCGCTCTGCCTTTCTGAGAGTCTGCCTCGTCTCCGCAAGCGTTGGATGTAGGAATTGGCACTGTCGGGTTCAGCAGCCAACATACTGCCTTGATTCATGGATGAGAACTGTGGACGCCTGCGGCATTGCATGGTCCTTGCCTAAAGAACATCTGGACCTAGATTTCGTACAGCCTGCAGCACTTTCGAGCTACTGAGACTGGAGTGCAAACATCAGGCATGCAGATTCCCTTGCCGACTCCTACTTCTGAGGGCGGCGCCAAAAAACAAACACACACACACACAAACGTTGCTTGTGAGAGAACAGCAGAATGTGATGTGCATGGGCTGCAGAGCATAAGGCAAGGCTGCCATAGCGTCGAGGCACGCCAAAAACACAGGCCTGTTTGAACCTGTTGGAGGCCCAGGAGGCTCATGAGGTTCCAAGTAAAAGCTTTTGTAGTATGCCTGGAAGGTTCGAGGATAGCACAACGCTTCCTCCTGAAGTTCGTGAGCCCCGGGGATTAGTGTTTCACACAGTGCTTGTAAGGTCGTTTTCTGCTTGGCTTGGCCCTGAAAGATTCCAAAAAGTCTTTCAGGCCCAAAAGTCCTTCAGGATCTGCATGTGGGCTGAATGAAGGATTGCAAGAATCCTTCATGCCGCGCACGTGGGCCCTGAAGGATTCCCAACTTTCAGGCCCCGCATGTGGGCTTTTGCAGGAATGCAAACAACTCCTGAAATTGCCATCAGCAGTGCAAGCCTAGCACACCAATCTTTGTTGCAATAAGGGCACACTTCTTCGGTTTGGTTGCGGGTTCAAGGCAAACAGGGCCAAATTGCATTATTAGCTACTTTGCCAAGCGCAGCCACACAGTCGACTCTCAGCAACGCCCGGCCCTGGCCAAGCTGCTCGCTTCGCGAGAAGCCGTGCTGGGCACAAGCATCGCGTTGATTAACATTGCCAGTAACCACATTCTGGAGCCCAAATCATATGGGCCTGTTGCCCTTCTCCGAAATATTGGGGAGACGAGCCTCGTTGGGCTCAACCCGTAGCTGTCTTGTCAAGCCCTGGGTAAGAACTTAGAAAGCTTCTGGAGGAATACAAGCTGAGAAAACCCTAAATGAACCCTTGGGCTCAACCACTATTGCAAGGCGAAAACCTTGCGACATTTGCTGGACATGGGATTCTGCTTTTCACGCTGCCTGCTTCACTGTATCGCTACCTTCAGTCCTGACTCTGCTTTTTGAGTTTGCCTCACAAGGGTTCAGGGTTTAGCCTCAAGGCTTTGCTTTTCAAGCAAGTGAGCTTTGGTCTGGTCCTTTACATCAGCGTCCTCCTATAGAAGCTCCGCTACATCTCTGTCTCCATTTTCTTCAGCCAGATCACGGGCCGTTCTGCCTCGGCGCGTTTTCAGGGACCCCCCCCATACCAGGCCGAAAGACGCAAGCGGAGCACCCCCGGCCCCCAACCCCGAGACGACAGCAAACGTGGGTCCCTGATCTGGCCCCACTACGGTAAGAGATGGCAAGAGCTTCTGCTTTCCGCCGTCTTTTCAGATCGCACATCCTGTACTTTAACTCATTCGTTGCAACAAGTCCCTCAAAGGCTTTGTGAGGGCTTTGCGGGGGGCGGAGGAAGAACGGAAAGGTGCTCCGCCCAAACACCCTGACCGTCGCTTCTCGCCTGAAGACGTCGGATGCTCCGCAAGCTCGGTACTATAGCAACTCCCCGGTGCTAGCAAACTCCCCGCACTGATGCCCAGCGAATCCCGAGCTCCCGGCCCTCGTTGTCCTTCGCGTCCTGCGTGCACAGGGCTCTGTCTCGGGAAGGTTGGGCACGTGCGCAACTCCCTCTCTTGAAGCAGCAGCCTGGAAACGAAGGGCTGGCCCAAGCACCATGACATGCTGCACAACAAGCGAACCGTTCCTATACAAAAAACGCCCTCTCCACGGCGCCTTCTTGGCTCCCATGTTCACCAGGAGCTTCAGCATATCCGTCTCGCAAGTTCTGGCAGCCCAATGAAGGGGCGTCTCGCCTTGCAGCGAAGCGCCCCGACGTACGCAAGGCCGTGGCAAGCCCCGAAAGATGGAGCATGTGTCATCCGCGCATACTTGTTGGGGTTTGTCTGCGTCTAGTTTTATCTGTGCCTCTTGTCTTCTTTTGGGTTTTGCACGTGAACCCTGCCGCAGCTAAGCCAGCGGAGCGGTCGTTCCTTCGGCCGTTTCCAATTCAGGCGTGGTTTATAGGGCTTCCACACCTGGCTTTTTTAAGGGCCCAGGGTTTCTCACACCTTTTCGTGTGCACGGCCACCTCACTCCTGAAATTCCTGTTTCCCATCAAACTTTACTTCGCAGTATGTGCACGCTATTGACTTGTGGGTATTTGCGCCGCATATGTCGTTGAAGCGACCCTTGCCAGGCATAGTTTTGTTGCATGTCATACAACTCAAGTCTTCAAGCTAATGCTGTGCCTACATATGGTCCCAAACGGCTAGCAACGTTTGAGCTTGTTTGGGAGAGGACCCCAAGCCCGAGACGACAGCAAATTTGCGTCCCTGATCCCCTGATCTGGCGCCCCACTGCACTGCAGTACGAGATGGCAAGAGCTTCTGCTTTCCGCCGTCTTTTCAAGCAAATCGCACATCCTCTACTGCGACTCACTCGTTGCAACAAGTCCCTCAAAAGGCTTTGTGAGGGCTTTGCGGGGGAGGAGAAAGAGGCCCCCAACACCGTGACCGTGGCTTCTCGTCTGAAGACGTCGCATGCCCCGCAAGCTCGGTACTCTAGCAACTCCCCGGAACTGGCAAACTCCCCGCACTGATGCTCAACGAATCCCGAGCTCCCGGCCATGGTTGTCCTTCGCGTCCTGAACGCACAGGGCTCTGTCTCGGGACGGTTCAGCACGCGCACGACTCCCTCTTTCGAAGCAGAAAACGGGGAGGGCTGTCCGAGCGTTACTAGGAAGACGGACTTTCAGACTTTAAGTTTAAGGTTAGCAATAGCAACGGGATCTGATCCAGCAGGTCTCGCAGTCTGGCAGCTCCGGTTCCTGATTTTGAGAGGTCGGGCACTTCCGAGGCAACTTACTTATTCAGACTTCGGCTGCCGGGTCTCCCAACGCCCTGCGAAGGCAAAGTGAGCTCGAGCCTGGCCCCGTGCGAAAACCGCCCTCCCCACGGAGCCTTATCGGCTCCCATGTCCACGAGAACCTTCGCCACATCTGCATGTCCTTCTTCGGTAACCAGATGAAGGGGCGTCCACCCTCGGGCGCGCATTGTTTTCAGGGAAGCGCCCCCCCCCCCCCCCCGTGCACAAGGCCATGGCACGCCCCGAAAGATGGAGCATGTGTCATCCGCGCGTTTTTTGTGGGGGTTTGTTTGTGTCTAGTCATATCTGCGTTTCTTCTCTTCTTTGGGTTTTGCACATGAACCCTGCCGCTGCAGTTAAGCCAGCGGAGCGGTCATCTGCGATTGACTTGGCCCTTCTCATGCGTCTTTTGTTTTAAAAGGTGGATGGCTTCCGCACACCGCACTCCACCTCACTCCGTTCAGGGCTCTGCATGTCTTCTCAGAGGTTATGAAGTTCAGGGGGCCTTAGGGCTCCGTTTGGGGCCTAAAATGGCTTCCAGAGCGCCTCCTGTTTTGGGGGGTTTTAGGAGCTTGCACTGCTCTTTTACACCTCTGCTGCCCTTCGGCTCTTCCATTTCAGGTTTCAGTTTCTTCCGCACCTGGTCTTTTTGAGGGTTTCTCGCACCTTTTCGTGTGCACGGCCACCTCACTCCTGAAATTCCTGTTTCCCATCAAACTTTACTTCGCAGTATGTGCACGCTATTGACTTGTGGGTATTTGAGCCGCATCAAGTCTTCGAGCTAATGCTGTGCCTACATATGGTCCCAAACGGCTAGCAACGTTTGAGCTTGTTTGGGGGAGGACCCCAAGCCCGAGACGACAGCAAATTTGCGTCCCTGATCCCCTGATCTGGCGCCCCACTGCACTGCAGTACCGTCTTTTCAAGCAGATCGCACATCCTCTACTGCGACTCACTCGTTGCAACAGTCCCTCAAAAGGCTTTGTGAGGGCTTTGCGGGGGAGGAGAAAGAGGCCCCCCAACACCGTGACCGTGGCTTCTCGTCTGAAGACGTCGCATGCCCCGCCAGCTCGGTACTCTAGCAACTCCCCGGAACTGGCAAACTCCCCGCACTGATGCTCAACGAATCCCGAGCTCCCGGCCATGGTTGTCCTTCGCGTCCTGAACGCACAGGGCTCTGTCTCGGGACGGTTGAGCGCGCGCACGACTCCCTCTTTCGAAGCAGGAAACGGGGAGGGCTGTCCGAGCGCTACTAGGAAGACGGACTTTCAGACTTTAAGTTTAAGGTTAGCAATAGCAACGGGATCTGATTCAGCAGGTCTCGCAGTCTGGCAGCTCCGGTTCCTGATTTTGAGAGGTCGGGGCACTTCCGAGGCAACTTATTCAGACTTCGGCTGCCGGGTCTCCCAACGCCTGCAAAGGCAAAGTGAGCTCGAGCCTGGCCCCGTGCAAAAACTGCCCTCCCCACGGAGCCTTATCGGCTCCCATGTCCACGAGAACCTTCGCCACATCTGCGTGTCCACGATGGGCAGCCCCATGAAGGGGTGTCTTGCCTCGGGCGCACGTTTCTCAGGCACAAGGCCATGGCAATGCCGCCGCAGTTAAGCCAGCGGAGCGGTCATTTGCTTTTGATTCTGCCCTCTCATGCGTCTTGTGTTTCAAAAGGTGGAGGACTTCCGCACACCGCGCTCCTTTTCAGAGGGCGCAGGGGCCCCTTTGAGTTTAAGGTCGGGGGCAGGTCTCTGACTTTTCTGGGCCTTTGAGGGCCACACCTCACTCCGTTCAGTGCTCTGCAGGTCTTTTCAGAGGTTATGAAGTCCAGGGCTTTTCGGGATCCGTTTGGGGACTTATATGGCTTCCAGACACCACCTCACGTTTCGGGGTTTTGAGGAGTTTGTACGTAGGAGTTCTTAGGGTTTCACCTCACAGAGTTTGTAGAGTTTTCACACCTCCCCTTTTGCGAGGGCTCAGGGCTTCTTCAGAAGCTGGGCCGTAACGTTTCTCAGACCACATCGTTTCCATTTCAGGCGTGGTTTATAGGGCTTCCACACCCGGCCTTCTCGAGGGCCCAAAGTTTCTTACCCCTTTTCGTGTGCACGGCTGCACACCTCACTCATTAAATTCCTGTTCCCCATTTGCCATGAAACCTTCTTTCGCAGTATGCGGGCGCATTTGAATTGTGGTGTGGTTTTCTTTCAACATGGCCGCATATGTCGTTGAAGGGACCCTTGCCAGGCATTGTTTTGTTGCATGTCATACAACTCAAGTCTTTGAGCTAATTCAGCGCCTACGCAACGTTTGAGCTTGTTTATGATCGACCGGATTGCTTGTTGATATGATCTCTTCTTGATGTGTATTTCATTCGATGACACTCAAAACACACATGACGCGCTTTTTGCGAAAGACTGGAGAGGAGTGTGTACCCCTCCCCCCCCCGCAAGACGACAGCAAACGTGCGCGGCAAGGGCTTGCAACAAGTCCCTCAAAGGGAGGGCTTTGCGGGGGAGGAGAAAGAAGGGAAAGGTGCTCCGAGACGGTGCGCCCCAAACACCCTGACCGTGGCTTCTCGTCTGAAGACGTCGCTCTGTTCTACAGCAATCTATAGCAACTCCCTGGTACTAGCAAACTCCCCGCACTGATGCTCAACGAATCCCGAGCTCCCGGCCCTCGTTGTCCTTCGCGTCCTGCGTGACAAAGGCTCTGTCTCGGGAGGGTTGAGCACGCGCACAACTCCCTCTCTTGAAGCAGCAGCTGGAAACGGGAACCGTTACTAGGCCGACGGACTTTCAGACTTTAAGTTTAAGATTAGCAACGGGACCTGATCCAACAGGTCTCGCAGTCTAGCAGCTCATTTTTGAAAAAAGTCGAGGCACTTCCGGGGCAACTTACTTATTCAGGCTTCGGCTGCCGGGTCTCATTCAGGCTTCGGCTGCCGGGTCTCCCAACGCCTGCAAAAACAAAGTGAGCTCGAGCCTGGCCCCGTGCAAAAACCGCCCTCCCCACAAAGCCTTCTTGGCTCCCATGTCCATGAGGAGCTTCGCCACATCTGCGTGTCCATTACTGGCAGCCACATGAAGGGGCGTCCACCCTCGGGCGCACATTTGTTTTCAACGAAACGCCCCCGACATGCACAAGGTCAGGGCAAGCCCCGAAAGACGGAGCATGTGTCACACGCGTGTTTTTGTTGGGGTTCTGCGTCTAGTTATATCTGCGTCTCTTTTCTTTCCTTTGGCATTGAGCTTGCTGCCGCAGGTAAGCCAGCGGAGCGGTCATTTGCTTTAGATTCTGCCTTCTCATGCGTCTTGTGTTTCAAAAGGTGGAGGGCTTCCGCACCTCACTCCGCTCAGTGCTCTGCAGGTCTTTTCAGAGGCTATGAAGTCCAGGGCTTTAGGGATCCGTTTGGGGACTTATATGGCTTCCAGACACCTCACGTTTCGGGGTGTTGAGGAGTTTGTAGGAGTTCTTAGGGTTTCACCTCACAGAGTTTGTAGAGTTTTCACACCTCCCCTTTTGCGAGGGCTCAGGGCTTCTTCAGAAGCTGGGCCGTAACGTTTCTCAGACCACATCGTTTCCATTTCAGGCGTGGTTTATAGGGCTTCCACACCCGGCCTTCTCGAGGGCCCAAAGTTTCTTACCCCTTTTCGTGTGCACGGCTGCACACCTCACTCCTTAAATTCATGTTCCCCATTTGCCATGAAACCTTCTTTCGCAGTATCCGGGCGCATTTGAATTGTGGTGTGTTTTTCTTTCAACATGGCCGCATATGTCGTTGAAGGGACCCTTGCCAGGCATTGTTTTGTTGCATGTCATACAACTCAAGTCTTTGAGCTAATTCAGCGCCTACGCAACGTTTGAGCTTGTTTATGATCGACCGGATTGCTTGTTGATATGATCTCTTCTTGATGTGTATTTCATTCGATGACACTCAAAACACACATGACGCGCTTTTTGCGAAAGACTGGAGAGGAGTGTGTACCCCTCCCCCCCCCGCAAGACGACAGCAAACGTGCGCGGCAAGGGCTTGCAACAAGTCCCTCAAAGGGAGGGCTTTGCGGGGGAGGAGAAAGAAGGGAAAGGTGCTCCGAGACGGTGCGCCCCAAACACCCTGACCGTGGCTTCTCGTCTGAAGACGTCGCTCTGTTCTACAGCAATCTATAGCAACTCCCTGGTACTAGCAAACTCCCCGCACTGATGCTCAACGAATCCCGAGCTCCCGGCCCTCGTTGTCCTTCGCGTCCTGCGTGAAAAAGGCTCTGTCTCGGGAGGGTTGAGCACGCGCACAACTCCCTCTCTTGAAGCAGCAGCTGGAAACGGGAACCGTTACTAGGCCGACGGACTTTCAGACTTTAAGTTTAAGATTAGCAACGGGACCTGATCCAACAGGTCTCGCAGTCTAGCAGCTCATTTTTGAAAAAAGTCGAGGCACTTCCGGGGCAACTTACTTATTCAGGCTTCGGCTGCCGGGTCTCATTCAGGCTTCGGCTGCCGGGTCTCCCAACGCCTGCAAAAACAAAGTGAGCTCGAGCCTGGCCCCGTGCAAAAACCGCCCTCCCCACAAAGCCTTCTTGGCTCCCATGTCCATGAGGAGCTTCGCCACATCTGCGTGTCCATTACTGGCAGCCACATGAAGGGGCGTCCACCCTCGGGCGCACATTTGTTCAACGAAACGCCCCCGACATGCACAAGGTCAGGGCAAGCCCCGAAAGACGGAGCATGTGTCACACGCGTGCTTTCGTTGGGGTTCTGCGTCTAGTTATATCTGCGTCTCTTTTCTTGCCTTTGGCATTGAGCTTGCTGCCGCAGTTAAGCCAGCGGAGCGGTCATTTGCTTTTGATTTTTGCCTTCTCATGCGTCTTGTGTTTCAAAAGGTGGAGGGCTTCCGCACACCGCACTCCTTTTCAGAGGGTTCAGGGGCTCCTTTGAGTTTAAGGTTGGGGTGGGGCCACACCTCACTCCGCTCAGTGCTCTGCAGGTCTTTTCAGAGGTTATGAAGTCCAGGGCTTTTCGGGATCCGTTTGGGGCCTTATTTGGCTTCCAGACACCTCGCGTTTCGGGGTTTTGAGGAGCTTGGAGGAGTTCTTAGGGTTTCACCTCACTCCGTTTAGGCACCTCTCGGGCTTCCCATATTGTAGGCTTTAGGTTTTTCAGGTCGGCAGAGGTAGTAGAGTTCTCAGACCTCGTAGTTTCTCAGATCACATTCCCTTGCAGCCCCTTTCGGCTCTTTCCATTTCAGGCTTCAGGGCTCTAGGGCTCTCCTCACCTTTTCGAGGCCCAAGGTTTCACACCTTTTCGTGTGTACGGTTTCTTTTTGTCATGGCCGCATATATGTCGTTGAAGCGACCCTTGCCCGGCATTGTTTTGTTGCATGCCATGCAATACAACTCAAGTCTTTGAGCTAATGCAGCGCCTACATACGGTGTGGTCCCAAACGGCTAGCAACGTTTAAGCTTGTTTATGATCGACTGGATCGCTTACTCAAAAATACACACATGACGCGCTTTCCCCGAAAGCCCGACATCAGTACCCCCCCCCCCCCTTCCCTCCCTCCCCCCCGCTCCCCCCCCCAAAAAAAAACTTACGTCCGTGATCTGGCCCCACTCACTGCGGGCAGAGATGGTTGAATTGCTTTCTGCGTAGCAGATCGCACATCCTCTACTGTAACTCACTCGTTGCAACAAGTCCCTCAGGGGCTTTGTGAGGGCTTTGCGAATAGGGAGAAAGAAGGGAAAGCTGCTCTGAGCCGACGCGCCCCAAACACCCTGACTGTTGACATGGCTTCTCGACTGAAGATGTCGGATGCCCGCAAGCTCGCTACTTATTGGCATCCCTAATGCTCAACGAATCCCGGGCCCCCAACCATTTTCGCCCTGCTGTGCCTCCTGCATGTAGGGGCAGGGGCTGTGTCTCGGGAGGGTTGGGCATGTGCGCAACTCCCCTCTCTTGAAGCAACAACCTAAAAATGGAGGGCTGGTCCAAGCACCATGACATGCTGCACAAAAACCGTTTACAACAGGCCGATGGATTTTTGAAATTTTAATTTTAAGGTTGCCAAATACTTCTACTCCAACAAATCTCGCAGTCTAGCAGCTCCCGATGCTAATGTTTGGGAGGTCGGGGCACTTCCGGGCCAACTTACTTATTCAGTCTCCCAACGCCTGCGAAGGCAAAGTGAGCTCAAGCCTGGCCCCGTGCAAAAACCGCCCTCCCCACAAAGCCTTCTTGGCTCCCATGTCCATGAGGAGCTTCGCTACATCTGTGCGTCCAACCGCGGCAGCCGCATGAAGGGGCGTCCACCCTCGGGCGCGCGTTTGTTTTCAGTGAACCCGCCCCCGTTTAGGGTTTCAGGCTTTAGGGTGTAAGGTTGGGCTTTAGGGTTTGGAGCTTGTAGAGTTTAGGGTAGTTTAGGGTTTGGGGTTTAGGGTCTATAGGGCTTAGGGGTTTAGGGCTTTGGCTCCGGGTTATAAGGTTCAGGGCTTGGGATTTGGGGGTTTAAGGGTTTAAGGGTTTAGGTTTTAGGGTGTGGGGTTTAGGGTTTTGTGTTTAGGGTTTATTTTGGGGGTTTAGGGTTTTGGGTTTAGGGTGTAGGGTTGGTTGAGGGTTTGGGTTTAGGTTTTAGTGTTTGGGGGTTTGGGTTTCGAAGTAGTGGAGGAATAGACAAACTATTCAAGAAATGCTGCCCGCGCCAACAGGCAATAGCTCAGCGCCAGCAGGAGAATCGCTATAAACAGGTGTAGGTGTGAATGTTGCAAATCCGGGTGATAGTCTCCCTATCAACGGGTCGGGTCCAGGGGCCTATTCCTTTCCCAACGGAAGCCACCCTCGCGTCGCGTACACGAGAGGATCCTCAAGGTTGCAAGGCTTGAGGGGTGTATAAGCGCTTCGCCCAAAATCGCCTAGGTTCCCCTTATGGCGTCTATCAGCTTCCACCTTACACTCTCCAGCTCCTCCTTCCTTGGCGCCTAGTTTTTCCTTATGGCTTACCAGTATCAGAGAAGTCCGAAGCAAGGTTAGGGGCTGTACAGCAGGGGCAAAAGATCCTTTTCTACACGGTTGCTCAGAGAGCTCTTGCAAGCGCTGCGGATGCTGCGCGGTTCAAGCAGCCATTCTCAAACTCATGGAAACTGTACATGCTCGTGGTTATACCCTGGCAAAACATATTTCAGCGAGAGTGCCGTATCATCTGCACCGTCAATGTCATCGGTCGTCATCCCCGCAGGGAAGGTATCGTCGATGTCCAGGGTGTTGGCACATCATTCCATATCATGTTTCATGCTAAGCTCAGCTAACCTGAAATGCTTTCCTGTCAGACCGGGCATACAACTAAAGTAACTTTTACCCGATGCGCCAAACAGGGTTGGGGTTTAGGGGTTTAGGGGTTTAGGGGTTTAGTCGCTCACTCTCGCACAAGGCAGGCAAGGTCCGGGGTTTAGGGGTTTAGGGGTTTAGGGGTTTAGGGGTTTAGGGGTTTAGGGGTTTAGGGGTTTAGGGGTTTAGGGGTTTAGGGGTTTAGGGGTTTAGGGTTTCAGGCTTTAGGGTTTTAGGATTTAGGGCTTCTTCCCTCCCAGTCGCTTCACGAGGACTTAAAAGACACGGATAACGCAAAAAAGACACAGATAACGCCAAAAGACAAGACACCGATGACGCGAACAAACAAAATCAAGCAAGCTGTTCCTCGAGACCTCCGAACAAGGCAGACAAAAAAAGACACGGATCACCCCCATGCGCCCCAAACACCCTCACTGTTGACATGGCTTCTCGACTGAAGATGTCGGATGCCCGCAAGCTCGGTACAAAAGCAACTCCCCGTACTGACTGACGCTCAACGAATCCCGAGCTGCCGGCCGTTGTCCTGGGCCTCCTGAATGCACAGGGCTCTGTCTCGGGAGGGTTGGGCACGTGTGCAACTCCCTCTCTTGAAGCATCCCGTTGCTGAGTTTTTTGAGAGGTCGGGGCACTTCCGGGGCTGCCGGGTCTCCCAAGGCAAAGTGAGCTCGAGCCTGGCCCCGTGCAAGAACCGCCCTCCCCACGAAGCCTTATCGGCTCCCATGTCCACGAGAAGCTTCGCCACATCTGCGTGTCCACGATTGGCAGCCCCATGAAGGGGCGTCTTGCCTCGGGCGACGTTTTTCAGGGAAGCACAAGGTCTTGGCAATGCCAGCGGAGCGGTCATTTGCTTTTGATTGTGCCTTCTCATGCGTCTTTTGTTTTGTGCTTCGAGCTAGTGCTTCTGGAACGTGGTTCTCGGTTCTGTCCGCTGGGTCAGCGCCTCAGTGAGACCAGTTCCTACATGCATGTGGGCATGATTTTCTTGTCTTCTGTGTGCTTTTTGCTCCTGGAAGTTGAGCAACAACTGGTTACGTGGCTCTCCTCGCTGGGACGGTCTGAGCCTTTGTATGTTCCGTTGCGCTTCTCTTCAGGACCGTGATTGAGCCGAGCATGAACATTCGCACATGATGTTGCTCTTTGCGGACATTTTAGAGCATGTGCTTGTGTTGCCGTTCGTTTTTGGCTCTGTGGCGGGTTCAGGAGCTTGTAGGGCTTCTCAGGGCTTCACCTCACTCCGTTTAGGCACCTTTTAGGTTTTTATAGATTATAGGGCTTCACATATTTTAGGTTTTGGGGTTTTTCAGGTCGGCAGAGTTTGTAGAGCTCCACATCTTTTTGCAGCCTCTTCGTCTGTTTCCATTTCATGCGTGGTTTTAAAATTGTTGGGCTTCCACACCTGGCCTTTTTAAGGGCCCAGGGTTTCTCACACCTTTTCCTGTGCACGGCTTCGCACCTCACTCATTCAATTCCTGTTCCCCATTTCCCATTAACCTTTCTTCCGCAGAAGGTGCACGCTATTGAATTTTGGTGTACTTTTTTGGCATGGCCGCATACGTCTTTGAGTGACCATGCAACTCAAGTCTTCAGGCTAATGCTGTGCCTACATATGGTCCCGGACGGGTAGCAACGTTCGAGCTTGTTTATGATCGACTGGATCGCTTGTTGATCTGATCTCACACCCAGAACACACTTACCCCCCCTCCCCCCCACAAAAAAAATGACGACAGCAATGGCAAGAGCTTCTGAACTGCTTTCCGCCATCTTCTCAAGCAGATCGCACATCCTCAACTGTAGCCCACTCGTTGCAACAAGACCCTCAAAGGCTTTGTGAAGGCTTTGCGGGGAAGAAGAGAGAAGGGAAAGATGCTCTGAGCCGGCGCGCCCGAAAACGCCATGACTGTTGACGTGGCTTCTCGACTGACGTCGGAAGCCCGCAAGGTCGGTACCATAGCAACTCCCCGGTACTAGTAAACTCCCTGCACTGACGCTCAACGAATCCTGAGCTCCCGGCCCTCGTTGTCCTTCTCGTCCTGCATGCACAGGGCTCTGTCTCGGGAGGGTTGGGCACGTGTGCAACTCCCTCTCTTGAAGCATCCCGTTGCTGAGTTTTTTGAGAGGTCGGGGCACTTCCGGGGCAACTTATTCAGGCTTCGGCTGCCGGGTCTGCCAACGCCTACGAAGGCAAAGTGAGCTCCAGTTTGGCCCTGTACAAAAACCGCTCCACGACGCCTTCTTGGCTCCCATGTCCACGAGAACCTTCGCCACATCTGTGCGTCCATGCGCGGCAGCCAGATGAAGGGGTGTCTTGCCTCGGGCGCACATGGCAAGCCCCCGAGAGACGGAGCATGTGTCATCCGCGCATTTTTGTTGGGGTTTGTCTGCGTCTAGTAATGTCTGCGTCTCTTTCTTTTCTTTGGCATTGAGCTTGCCGCCGCAGTTAAGCCAGCGGAGCGGTCATTTGCTTTTGATTCTGCCTTCTCATGCGTCTCTTGTTCTCAAAGGTGGAGGGCTTCCGCACACCGCACTCCTTTCCAGAAGGCTCAGGGGCCCCTTTTGAGTTTTTCAGGTTGGGCGCAGGTCTCTGACTTTTCAGGGCCTTTAAGGGCCACACCTCACTCCGTTCAGGGCTCTGCAGGTCTTTTCAGAGGTTATGAAGTTCAGGGCTTTAGGGCTCCGTTTGGGGCCTTATATGGCTTCCAGACACCTCACGTTTTCGGGGTTTTAGGAGCCTGTAGGGCTTCTCAGGGCTTCACCCCGCCTTTAGGCACCATATTTTAGGTTTTGGGGTTTTTCAGGTCAGCAGATTGTAAAGCTCCACATCTCTTTGCAGCCCCTTTCGGCTGTTTCCATTTCATGCGTGGTTTTCTTGGGTTTCCACACGGGCCTTTTAAGGGCCCAGGGTTTCTCACACCTTTTCCTGTGCACGGCTTCGCACCTCACTCATTCAATTCCTGTTCCCCATTTCCCATCAACCTTTCTTTCGCAGAAGGTGCGCGCTATTGAATTTTGGTGTACTTTTTGGGCATGGCCGCATACGTCTTTGAAGTGACCATGCAACTCAAGTCTTCAGGCTAATGCTGTGCCTACATATGGTCCCGGACGGGTAGCAACGTTCGAGCTTGTTTATGATCGACTGGATCGCTTGTTGATCTGATCTCACACCCAGAACACACTTACCCCCCCTCCCCCCCCAAAAAAAATGACGACAGCAATGGCAAGAGCTTCTGAACTGCTTTCCGCCATCTTCTCAAGCAGATCGCACATCCTCAACTGTAGCCCACTCGTTGCAACAAGTCCCTCAAAGGCTTTGTGAAGGCTTTGCGGGGAAGAAGAGAGAAGGGAAAGATGCTCTGAGCCGGCGCGCCCGAAAACGCCATGACTGTTGACGTGGCTTCTCGACTGACGTCGGAAGCCCGCAAGGTCGGTACCATAGCAACTCCCCGGTACTAGTAAACTCCCTGCACTGACGCTCAACGAATCCTGAGCTCCCGACCCTCGTTGTCCTTCTCGTCCTGCATGCACAGGGCTCTGTCTCGGGAGGGTTGGGCACGTGTGCAACTCCCTCTCTTGAAGCATCCCGTTGCTGAGTTTTTTGAGAGGTCGGGGCACTTCCGGGGCAACTTATTCAGGCTTCGGCTGCCGGGTCTGCCAACGCCTACGAAGGCAAAGTGAGCTCCAGTTTGGCCCTGTACAAAAACCGCTCCACGACGCCTTCTTGGCTCCCATGTCCACGAGAACCTTCGCCACATCTGTGCGTCCATGCGCGGCAGCCAGATGAAGGGGTGTCTTGCCTCGGGCGCACATGGCAAGCCCCCGAGAGACGGAGCATGTGTCATCCGCGCATTTTTGTTGGGGTTTGTCTGCGTCTAGTAATATCTGCGTCTCTTTCTTTTCTTTGGCATTGAGCTTGCCGCCGCAGTTAAGCCAGCGGAGCGGTCATTTGCTTTTGATTCTGCCTTCTCATGCGTCTCTTGTTCTCAAAGGTGGAGGGCTTCCGCACACCGCACTCCTTTCCAGAAGGCTCAGGGGCCCCTTTTGAGTTTTTCAGGTTGGGCGCAGGTCTCTGACTTTTCAGGGCCTTTAAGGGTCACACCTCACTCCGTTCAGGGCTCTGCAGGTCTTTTCAGAGGTTATGAAGTTCAGGGCTTTAGGGCTCCGTTTGGGGCCTTATATGGCTTCCAGACACCTCACGTTTTCGGGGTTTTAGGAGCTTGTAGGGCTTCTCAGGGCTTCACCCCACTCTTTAGGCACCATTTAGGTTTTTATAGATTAAAGGGCTTCCCATATTTTAGGTTTTGGGGTTTTTCAGGTCGGCAGAGTTTGTAGAGCTCCACATCTTTTTGCAGCCCCTTTCGGCTGTTTCCATTTCATGCGTGGTTTTCTTGGGTTTCCACACGGGCCTTTTTAAGGGCCCAGGGTTTCTCACACCTTTTCCTGTGCACGGCTTCGCACCTCACTTCTTTAATTTCCTGTTCCCCATTTCCCATTAACCTTTCTTCCGCAGAAGGTGCACGCTATTGAATTTTGGTGTACTGTTTGGGCATGGCCGCATACCTCTTGCCAGGCATAGTTTTGTTGCGCGTCATGCAACTCAAGTCTTCAGGCTAATGCTGTGCCTACATATGGTCCCGGACGGGTAGCAACGTTTGAGCTTGTTTATGATCGACTGATCTGATGTCTCCTTGATGTGTATCTCATTCGATGACACTCAAAACACACAAGACGGGAGAGGAGTGCTGCTCAAGACGACAGCAAACTTACGCCCCAATGTGGCCCCACTGTGGTAAGAGATGGCAAGAGCTTCTGAAGTGCTTTTCACAGGTTTTTCAAGCAGATCGCAAATCCTCAACTGACTCTACTGCAACTAACTCGTTACAAGACATCCTGAAGGCTTTGTAAGGGCTTTGCAGGGGAAGAGCAAGCGCGCCCCAAACCCCCTGATCGTTGATATAGCTTCTCAACTGAAGACGTCGGAAGCCTGAAATTGCTTCTTCCTGATCAGTGCGCCTGCAAGCTCGGTACTTTAGCAACTGCCAGCACACCCCGGGGTCCCGGCCACGGCTGTCCAGTGCCTCCTGCACGCAGATCATGCACCCTCGCTCTCTTTTCAGAAGAAACTCCTACCGAAGAGGACCTGTAAAGCTTAGCAAAATCTTCCGTGCAAACCCCAAAGCTCCCCGAAGTGGTCAAAGCACGAACGCACAGACAGACTGACTGACAAAGAAACCAAAAAACTCAAGAAATAAAACGAGAAGTCGTCAAACTGGCATTCGTCAGCCCGGATTAGGAATTCGAAAGATGCTTGTATAAATAGGACCTTCTTCTTCGCGAGGGGAGCTTGCTTGCGGGTCAGAATTCGATCGTCTTCAAGCGCATATGTGTGAGAGAAATTCCAGTAAGCTCACGCTCAAGCCTGAAGCCCGAACGCTGCGGGTCAATGTGCGTGCGTGGTGGAATTTATGCGCTCTTCAAGCCGAGACTTGGCTCGACATTGCAGAGCGATGCCGAGGCACAAGGCTTCTCATCGGGGAAGCACGCGCAAAGACCGAGCATTTTTCCAAGCTACTCCCAAGCCTGATCATGCACTCATCCCCTGGCATTCTTTGGGGGCCACTCAGGAGCGTGCCATGCCCGCATACTGCCACTCGCATATACCAACTGCTGCGTATGAACACTAAACCCTCCCTCGCAAACCACCCGGCCTTGTCTGCGCCGGCGCTGAGGAGGGCTGCCGCATGCTCTGCGAGGCCGCGGGCTACGGCTTTGTGAAGTGCCGTGCCCCTAGGCTTGGACAACCAAGCTCTTTCCTCTGGGGAAAGATTTCGGCTTGCGAGGCTGCGGGGTGCCGAAGCGCTTTCAGAATGGGGGCTGAGGCCATCAGAAAACCAATCGCTTTCCTCCAGGCCGTAGCTCGCCTCGAACGAGCCGGTGCTTTCGGAACTCAAGCTTCGGAACTGCGAACCAGAGCGCAAGAAGCTGGGGGCCCCAGGCCGCGAAGGTGGCGCAGGTCACCGGGTCCACAAAGTGCAAATCATTCGCCCTGGAAAAACCCAGAGCAGCCATTGGGGCAGTGGAACGTTCAACGGTGTAGTTCAGGGCACGGCCAGATGAACACCCGTAGGATGAAGACTCCGGCGATCTTCGCTCCAGAAACGACCTCTCGGTAGCGGGATGCGGCCCCGAATGATCTTAACATGACAAGACCCCTCTCTGAGCCTCTCTGAGCCTCTCAGGGGTCTCTCCCTGTCTCTGTCTCCCTGAGGCATCGGCAAGATTGAAAAGCAGCATCCCGGAAAAGCTGTCGAAGAGCGTCATCGCAACGACAGCCAGAAACTTAGGATTGTCAGCTGGAGATGAAAAAGTTGGACAAGCTTTTTGCGTGGCTTCCGTGGACTTCTCCGCCGCTGAGGCTGCTGTAAGCTTCAAGTCCACAGGTTCACGATGGTTTATTACGACCCGAAGAACCCAAACCCTGAATCGGCTTTGGTACACCTTCTTGCCTATAGCTCGGACTCCCGTTCATGGTGTGAGCTTGGATCAGCTGTGCTCCTTCATAGTCTTTTCAAAAGCAATGTTTAATAGGGAAGTGGATCCAGCAAAGGTTTGGGCGCAAAGCAAAAAAGCCTAAGTCAAGTAGCCGACACCCAAGAGCATAGCGCGCCCTTAAGCAATCAGAGCAGGATGGCTTAAGTTAAGGCCTACGATTGAAACGCCACTTCTCAGGGTGGTCTTTTAAGTTGCTTCAACCTTGCAAGTGTGCGCAATGCCTAAAGCTAACATCTGAACGAAATGGTCACGACAAGGCTTGTTTGCCAGTTGCGGGGCCTGAGTGCTGTGTGTGTGTGTGACAGCCCCAATTCTGGAAGAATGTTCTGTGGCGCGCTCATCGATGGGAGACAACTTGCTGGACTGCTGGGAGGGTGTTCCCTGCGCATCCCTTCTATCGAAACTTCAGCAGCGACAGAATTCTTTCCCACGAACACCTGCGGTGCACAGATGTATGTAGAACGGAGCCTGGGTCTGGTCCCACGCCCGTCAAGGACAGTACTAGGAATCTCAAAGATAGAGAGGCTTTCGCTGAAACGGAGAACGGGCAAACCCACAGGGCCGCGGCCGCTTGAGGCGCATCTTCGCCGATAGCTGTCCCTTTCAGGCACATGGCAAACCGGACAAAAACAAATAACTCTGCAGGGGCGGAGGTTGGTGGAGCCGCTGGGCCCCGAGGCAAAAGCGAGCTTCGGTGCACTGCGCAACGAGCTTCGGGATCAAGAAGCTCTTTGCCTGCCCCCCAAAGTGGAGTGGAGGGGAGATTGTGAGCCGCGACAAACATTTACAAGCGCACCAAGCGCCACAGACATGTATACAAGCGCCAACCCAGAAGCACCTTTGTCCGTAGAAATGCGCACCAATCCTGCCAGTCGCTTGCAAGCCATGATCCGACCCCATATGCGACTGCTTTACGGCACGCCACAACAGGGAAGGCAAACAAGGCAAATGCAGCTCCTCTTGCACCTCGTCGTGCACCTCCTTCGAACTCTCATTCTGCAGGTTCTTCTTCCCGCCCTTCTGTGCCTGGCACAAGCAGGCTCCAAGAACTACCCCACCCTGAGTCACCTGAGTCCCATGTGTTCCCTGCTGGCAAAGTCCAGGGCACCCGAAGACGGGCCACTGTTGGAGGTGAAAACTCCGCCGCCAAGTCTCTCCTGAAAAAAGGAGAAACTGGAGAGCTTTCAGAGTGGGAGAAAGGGGAATGTCATGGGAAGTTTCTCGTGAGGTGCTTCGCTCCCCCAACATAGTGTTGATCTCGGGTCGTGCTCTATAGGCATGGGATGACCTGGCCATACATGTGTAGCTTCGGCGTCGGAGTCTTCATGAACGCATCCGGGATCTTTTTGTGATGAAGTTCCTTGTTCCCCAGCCTGCTCCCCTTGAAAAACGTGCCAGCATTGACCCCAAACAGCGCAGACCACGACGACGGCACATCGCAAATGTCCCTTACAGCGGCACAGGTCCCAGGCCAAGAAGCGCGTTTGTGCCACGGTCCCGTGAAAGACTTAAAGCCCAACATCGTGATCACTCCTCGCGAAAAAATATATAGCTGTGTCCCTTGATCCTTCCACCCCGCGCCCTCTGCGTGCTCGCGGGTGCATGCTGGCACTGCGGCTACAACCTATATCACATATATGAATATATATATATATATATATATATATATATATATCTATCTATCTATATATGTATATATATATATTCATATATATATATTCATATATATTCATCTATATCTATATCTATTTCTCTTGCCCGCAGTGTGAGAACCCGCAAGCACCAACCCCCGCTTTGCCTTCGAAGTTCCAGGCGTTTGCCAAGCACCAAACAACTCGGATCATGGCTGTAGACAGCTCTTCGAGAAGAAAATGCTCGAAATCCCAGGGGTGAAGGGCACCTCGACTGTGAAACCTTGCTTGCAAGGCTTTACGGGCTACATGGAAGGCCCGGGAGTGGTGGATGTAGAACATCGTAGGACTCTCATTCTTTTGTACCGGGTTCCCCAATGCACAACCCTTGAAGCAAGCCAAAAGTCGCTGTCCTCGTCGTAGGAAACCAAAACCTTATGATTCCAGAGGCTCTGCGTCTGCTGCTTGTGATTCAGCTGCAGCCACTTGATGCTGACTCACTCGATCACGCAAGCAAACATGGAACCACGTGTCACTAGTGAGGCTCTTGCGGCCGCGCATGCGCAACTACTACTGGCAACCAACCCAATGTCCCACAATGAAAGTTGCATGGGCAGAGCCGTGCAGTGCCAGAGCGCAGCGGAGTCTTCTGCTTTTTGAGTTTTTCGAGTCTCGTGGGCTCGAAATCAGGAAACACTCGCTGTTAACCAATGCGTCGTGGTCCATGTTCCGGGGCGTCTCGCTGATTCAGAACATGGGCACTCATGTTCAGACCACAAAATGATGGTCTCTTGCTGCTCCATGGATACGCTCTGAAACTGTTATGCTGAGATCATGCACGTGGCTTGAATCAGGGATGTGATCGTTTAGTGGGGCGAGCCGATCCCACACTGAACCGACATACTCACATTCGCGTGTGCAGGCAGGCTCAACTGTGTGCTTGTGTCTGTGCTCTTCCTCTTTGCGAAAAACGGCTCTGCGCCATGTTTCCACTGGCATGGGCCGCTGAGTTGTGTAGGGTAAGGGGATGCAAGGGGCATGAAAAGGCCTTCACCGCCGAGACAGTTTTGAGTCTGCAAGTTGGAATCGACTGTGAACCATGAAAGGGCTAACTGAAAAGAGCGCTTGACGTGAGCTCTGTCTCTCTCTCTTCTCTCTCTCTCTTCTCTCTCTCTCTCTTCTCTCTCTCTCTCTCTCTCTCTCTCTCTCTCTCTTTCTCTTTAAGGGCACTCTGCCCTTTCAGGGCACTGAGAAGGGCTCTGAGGGCTCTGCAAGAACGGTGCTGGCAAGAAGATGGTGAGAAGCGCCGAGCTTCCCAGCCAGAAGCCTTGCCAGGAAAGTGCTGGGGAAAGGTGGGCAAGCTTCTTCGTTACACTGGGGCCTATATTGGATGGGTTCATTTGCAGTGGCCTGCCCTGCGCGTCCAGGGGTCTTCGGCGCAGGAGGCCAATTGGAAGATGGAGGCTGCGAACAAATTGTCCTCGCGGGAAATTCAGATATACACAGGCAGGGGCAGAGAGCAAGGATGACGAAAAAAAGGGGAAGGATCTTAAGCAGTACCGCTTGTGACAGATTGCACCTTCAACAAGTCTGTCCGCGGCCCCAGGACTGGGAGCACCTCGTGTGGCAAACGTCCCAGGATTTCCGAGGCTCTCTAGGCTCTCTGAGGCTCTGAGGGCCGGGGCGCTCATCACCATGGAGATCGCAGGCTCCGCTGGGGAGATGTAGCGGTTCGTCCACGCCGCCTCTGGCAAGGTGCTCTGCTCAGTCGTGTAAACGAATGGCTAGGTCCGCTTTGGGCCGGGACATAGAAGGCACGGAGCCAGTAGCCGAAGACGTCGCAATTTAGGACCATCTGAGAACTTTCAGAAGATCCAGCACAAAATCCCACAAGGCCCATAAGCTTCGTTTGAGGGTGAGCGGGGCTCAGGCCAGTAGCCAAACAAAGATGATCTCCCAGTCCACACCGGCGGCTCCTAGCATCAGGTTCTCCCTCTTTGCGTAGGAGGTCAAGGCCTTCCGGTGGCTCGCAGGGGTCGACGTGTCTGTGGGACGTGCGGGGCAACGGGGGCAACTGTGGGACATTCCTGGGGGGGACGAGGCCGAGCCCGGAGCAAGTAAGAAGACGCAGTGGCAGAAGTAGTAGACCTCAAGAGACGGATGCGGACTGTGCTGCACTGTGCCGCTGCGTTTCTTGAGTCCACCGCTGCCCAGCAACTGGGGTCCCCGGCAGTAAAGATGCCCGTCTTCACGGGCCCCAGCTGAATCTCAAACTCTTCCTCACCTCCTGCGCAGGCAACGCAAGGATTCGCTGCGTGCAGTGAAAAGGCACTGGGCGGTGCTGGGGGCTCACTTGCGTACGGCTCTCCTTTGCCGGCTTCGGCCGTAACCAAAGGGCTTCGCTCCTCCCCTCCTGACCTCAGTGGAGTGGCGAGCATGAGCATCCCCGCAGCAAAGCCTTTTGAGACTTCCAAACATTCGACAGATGATCTACCGACGTGCAGGTCATTGACAACGGCCCCTTGGCACAGGGCTCGGCAGCTGGTCCGGCGCTGCTTCGCCAGAGGCTCAGAAGGTACACAAGCCCCACGGGCACAGATGCCGCGATGACGGCAAGGCCTCAGCCCAGGTGGTCGCATACCCAACGATATCTTGGCCATCCTGACATCTCCATCCGCAACATTGCTTTTCGACAAATTAAATGCCTTCGGCCCACGTGCCCAGGACGCGTTAGCCTGTGAGCTGCTGTGAGTTCTCGCAAACATCTGATCATCTTGCAATCCCCCGCCTCCGCACTTAGCCTAAACGAGAAAGCTCTCATACTTCCACATTTTTTGACAACCCGCTTGCGGCCTCGCCCCCACATGCCCCCTCTCCTTCCCGCAATGGCATCGGGAGCCGTCGTCGTGCTTCAAAAGCGGCAACAATGCACCGGAACAAGGCACAGGGGTTCTTCGCACCCTTATGATATGAGGCCCTTTCCACACCGTGCGCTTTAAACCCCAGCAGAGAAGAGTGAAAAGCGCACAGCAGACTGCAAGTCCGAGCTCCCGGGCCAATGGTAAGGGCGGCCCCGATGAGCGCGTCCAGCCTCCGGTGGTCCAAGGTGGCGCTGCCGGGCTGCGTGAGGACCGTCGGAAGAACGGCCTATGAACGATGCAAGCTGGGGAATGCCCGGAGGTGCTTGGTGCTTGGCAGCCGGCGTGACTCACACGTATTTACGTCCGGGCCCTCCATGCTCTACATCATTTTGCAAGCCTTCCGAGAACGGAACGTGCGTCCGGCCCGTGGGATCTTCCAAGGGCTGCCAGCCAGGCACCCATCGCAGAGCCCGCTCAGCAGCCTGGAACCTGAAGCCAAAAAGCACGGTTTGCTCACCGTGTGAGGCTTCAGACCATTGCCACGTTGTTTAAAATTTTGGATAGTCCGAAGGCCTGCGAGTTCTGTTGGGACCCTCTACAGGGTCACCGGTTTAGGGTGCACCCTGGACCCAAATGCCCGGCCACGACCTTTGGAGCTCCGGCCTCGGTCGGACATCTTCGGGCCTCTGCAAAGCTTTGAGGACTTTGCTTTTAAGTGCTTTCTGGTGTTTGGCTCTTCCGGGGTTTTGTCCGTGTGAAGAGGACCTTCAAAGCTTGAATTCGTAGAGGGTTCTACATCTGGGCTCGAGGCCAACAGGACGTGAATGCTGGTTCACACCAAGCAAGTGCTGCTGAATGCCGAGTCGTGTCTGGGCACTTCCGCAATGGACTGCAACATGCGGACGCCTCCACTGCTGATGCGATTTCATGTGCATATCATTCCCTTGGCTTTGCTGTGGGGCCTTCGTGCTGCCCTTTTGCCTTCAAAGCCCCTTTTTGGCTCTTGGCGCCCTGCTTGGGAAACGCGCTTGCGACGGTCGTGATGAGCGGGATTGGAAGGCCACCTCTCCTGCGGGACAGGCACTTCAAAGAGGTTTGGGGCTTCCTGTAGGCTTTTGGGCTCATGAAGCTCATCGCTGGAAACCTGGCACAAACATCCGCACGGGGCGTGAAGCGTCGTGCGGTTTCTCACGAAAAAGCGTGTCGACACAGCGGGAGCACGATTTTGAACGTGATTTTGGCCCCAAAAAAGCGTGCAAGTTACAGAAGTCGTTCTGTGGAAAGCATGGCAGGCGCGGTATTTTCGGCGATTCGTCGCTCTCTTTCTGTCTCTCGCTCGTGCTCACGAGGCCTCACAACACACATGAGGGAGCTGCCAGACTCAACAGCGGTTCAGGGCTTATGGCGAGATGGCGTGGACAGGAGCTAGGGTGCCCGAAGTGTTCGAACGGCTTGGGCACCCAAGTTCGGGAACTGGCCCAAGCGTTTAGGGTTGAAGCTAAGAAAGAAACGACAAAGGTGCAGCCAACCCCCTCTGCACCCACCCAGCCCCCAGCCCGGACTCTCAACAAACCCACCCCCCGACCATTAACCAACCGTTGCAAAGCCTGTGCAAAACGCACGCGGTACTTGACCCGTCGGCACAAACATCGCAAGGATAAGGAAGAAGACAAAAGGCCCACCCTTCAAAGGACATGCCGCAACAAGAACTGTAGCAGTAAAGCGATCAATCAAGGAGCAAGAAGAAAGACACCAAAACAGCAGTGCTGGCGAGATATTCTGAAGTAAGCGCTACAATTTAGAAGGACGATGCTCGCAACACCCAAGATGCAACCAACCGCAATTACCACCAACAAGCACCCCGTGTAAAGACATGTAAAGACACTGCCAGTTGAACCCTGCAGCGGCCCAGAAATTTCCACCGCATTCTCTGCGGCAGTTTGCCACTCAACAGGGTGGGCATGTGAGCTTGCACGGATCTAGATAGTAACGTTCCTTGACTTCGTGTGCTTTGAGTCAGTGAGATACCAGGATCTACCAGGATCTCTTGATTTCCTGATGCTACGACCAGTGGCGTCATCACTACAATTACAGTAGAAGAAGACATGACTATGTTAAGTCGTCTGGGGCCCCTTAAGTCGTTTCACCATACCAACTACGCCTTCTCGAGCCCTCTGAGGCCGGAGCAGTCGATCCGTCGAACAAGACTTTATCGTCACGCTCTCGAGGCGCCGGGCCTGTGAGGGAAAGCAAAAAAACTCTAAGAGCCTCTTGACATGTCGCGAAAAACCCGCTTGCCAGGGCTTTGCCACGCAACCCCATGCTGCGACATATTGCGAATTCTTCCTGTTTCTCTTGAGACTCCTAAAAACAACTGCTGCTACAACTCCTACTACAACTAACGGGAGGAGGAAGAGGAGCTGCCTTTATCGGTCTGGTCTGACATCGACTACGCTGCAGTTCAGCATGCGCATGGCCTGGAAACGAGGCAGGTCCGTCAGTGCGCCTGCTTGAAGAACCGTGACGGTGCCTTGGCGAGCCGGTTGCCTTCCCTCCGCCGCAAATTTCATTGCTAAGATCAATGAAAGCAGGCATTTTGCATTAGCAGAATGCATGACATCGTGCCATGGTACTCCTAGATGGCTGCTCGTTGCAGCATCAACTTCCAAACTTGTACTTATTTACATATTACTTCTTCCCTTCTGAGCCGCCACTAGTAGCAGCTTTCCGTGTGGTATGCAACACAACATAAAGAAGGGGGGTCCTACAGACCCCAATAAATTCAGGAGACCCACGGAAGATTCACGAAGGCCCTCGAAACCCTCAGGACAGATCGTTTTCAAAGGGAGGCTTGACATCGGAACGAGGCCGAAATCATTCTCAAACAATCACCGTGATGATGACGACGGCGATGATCGTACTTCGAGCAAAAGCAGAGCTCGCGACAACCAGTACTTACAATTCAACGCAGCCACAAGCCCTGAACCAGGAGACCCTAAACTCCATAAACCCTATAGACTCTAAACCCCATAGGCCCTAAACTAAGTATGATAGAAACGGATCGGCGTTCCGTATCGAGCCGCGCCCGAGGCTGCGGCACAAAACCTCAGAGCAAACCCAGCTTCGCTGCTACGCACCCCTTGCGGGTTTAGGGTTAAAAGGGTTCAGAGTTAGGGAGAAGGAGGATGAGGGAATGGATCCAAAGGGAGAGCGGCTGAGGAGCGAAACTTCATAGGAATGGATCCTGACTGATGGTCTGCAAATCCCCGGGGCAGTCACAGCGCTAAGCTGTACAGTGCCAAGACAGATAACCTCTGCAAATCTTCAAGTGCGAACTCCAGTCGCTCCCTGACCTGGTTTGCCAAGGCCAAGCCCCAAAATCCTGAAGCCCTTAAACCGAAAATCCTATTCCTATGGTCCTATAGATTCTTGACCTTGGCGGTCTTCTGGCGAACAGTGTGGCCGAAGCATTATGGGGGTTAATCAAGATTTCAATATGGAAAAATCAACCAGAAACCAATATGTTGACACTGTTGACACTGTCTGTTGACACAGATGATAAATACACCTTGTATAAGCTAAACAATTATCTACTGGTAGTCATATGTGCATATATATATATATATATCAAACTCATATGCACCCGATGAGCTCTACCCCTCTTTCTCGTTCTCCATTGTAAGAGACACTCGCGCAGTGGCCTTTTGTTTTTCAGGAGGGTGTCGGCGGTCTCCTGGGGCGCCGTGCGAGAGTCATCGCCAAGCGGGCGAAGGTGACAGCGGCCTGCCAGGTAACAGGGGGCTATTCATTTTTGGGGATCCTACGCACAGCTACGCAGATCCATTCCCTGAATCCCTACGCTACTGTACGCACCAGATTCAGACAAGCGGTTGCGTCATGCTGTGCGCCACAAGGGGAGGATCCCCTGCCTCGCGCTGTCGCGTCGTGGACATAGCGACTTGGCTGGAAGAATGAGATGATGCTTACAAGAGAGGCAAAAACGTAGAAAGCAGCAGAGCAGTATGATAAAACCATACTGTGGCAATTCTCAACATGATCCTTCATGCAACTTTGTATTTGTCTTGCGGCTGGGCGGCCTTACCTAAAACTTGTCAACAGTTCCAGTGGTAACTGCCGCAAGCACGGCACCTGATCCCATCCTGAACTGCAAAGCCGGGACACTGCGGGCGGCCGGAGCTGTTCCCCCAGCATAAATTCGAGATGCAGGCGTGCAGCAAAAAACTCGACTTGAGCCAAGCAACCGGAGCTTGATAACATTGCAGATTCGAAGCCCACGCCCCAATCCCCCTTCCTCCGTGCTATAGTTGCAACCATGAACCTCCATGAACTGCCTCAACTCTTCGCAAAGCCCGGCTCCCAAGGGAACCGTTCAGCTCCAAGTAGTGGGATGGCGTTGACTACTCTGTAGTCCTGGGTTAACGACTGACACCTCATGAAAACTCTGATCCAACTCAGGTAATCCAACAAAAGCAAGCACCAAAGACAGCCAACATCGAAACATGATGCCAGGGGCCTTTGGGGGGGAATGTGCCGCGGGAATTGACCGGCACACCAGCTGCGCTGGCGAACCCTAAGCCCTAAACTTCCCTAAACCCCCCCAAGCCCGACAAAAAGACATTTTTCCAGAAGGGCTCGAGGAGTGTTTGATTGGCAATGCATGGTGATGGTGCGAGAGGCTATAGCTCTCAAAAGCACGAATTCGGTCTCAAGCAAATCCTCCCTCAAGTGAGGGCCTTCGCCAACGAGACGAGAGCATTCGCTACTGTCAGTGAAACTCATTAAACTCATTACTCATTAAGCATCTTTGAACATCTTCGAGATTTGTGGCAGAGCAGTGACACCGGGTTATTTCTGGCGACCTTCGGCCTGGACCCTGGGCACTGACTCGCGCGAAAAAAAGGGGCAAAATGGGAAATTTCCTCTTCCTCCAAACGTTTTTGGACGTGAGCCAAAACGCTTGCCCGAGTGACAGGCAGCTAACGGCCTCACACGCCGCTAGAAAACATCGTCCGCTTACAGGACTGCTGAAGAAATGGACATCATCTCGTCGTCGGCCACAAAGACGCGCCGGTCTGTCAGGAAGAGATCAACAACTTTCAGCATGCTGAGACTAGGCCCTAAACCCTCAAGAGCCATCGTAGCACGAAAGAAAGAGGGGCCTAGGAAGCTATTGAAAAGAACATAGCCTGGCCATGGTGCGGATGGTTCCAAGCGAACGAGGCCCGGCCGCATCCTTGGAAAGAAAAGGCGAAGAGGAGCTCTCAAAAGGACATGAGACAAGAATCTGACTCTTCTCCCAACTTTTGAGTGCGGTTGAAGACCTCCTCGTTATCTCCCAGAAATGGGGGAGGGGCTCTCCAAAGTGGGGTCTCTAAGTCTTTAGCCTGGCTTGTTGGAATCTTTGCAAATTCTGAGCGTCCAAAGCATCTCACCGAAGCAGAAGCCCCCCAAGCCTGAAACGGTACACTCACATGCACATCCATACCCCCATACCCCTAGCATTGAGAGTACAGCAAGCTCGTTTGGCCCTCACAAGATCATGCTTCAGCTCCGACCTACAGCACTGAGAAAAATGGTGCATCTGCCTCTTACAGAGAAACCTGCTCCTACCTTGAGGTATTTCTGACATCACAATCTAACCATGCAGATGGCCAAGAAATCTGAATCTTCATGTGTGAGTTGGAGTGTCGCAATGAGTGCACCCGGCGGAGAAGCAGTAGTACATGCACGAATCGAAAACTACGGGGTAGGCTCCAAAACTTGCGGGACATGCCGGCTGCGCTTGGACGCACGCTCCCAAATATGGCAGAAGATGAAACCATTGATGACTAAAGCTGCAGAAGTAGTCGTCATTAGATGTAGCACATGTCATGGTGGTACTGAAGACATACACCGCCCCATGACACATGCAGCGAGGCACACGCAAAAGCGTTCCCGAAAAGTCTTCGATGACGATGGACTGCATGGACTGATCCTGCAAGCAAATCTCCATGGGCGACCAACTCTGTTGCTATCACTGCTCCCCGACTATTGCTGCTGCTACGACCTGCACTATGCGTGGATGTCTTCTGCCTCTACATCTACGGCCGCACCCGTCACACTCCGACCGTCACTTGGAGGTTTCACCACCCTGAAAATGAAGAAAGCGACTGATACTGGAGGAGTAACAGACACCAAGCTCTGAACTTTAAGGCGCGGTGACTGTTACACCGATTGATCCGGTTGAGGGTGTCTCAGAAGTCCTTTCAGGATACAATCTAGGTTGATGTGCATCCGCCCTGGATGTTTTAACGGGGCGACCTGTATGTTATGTCTGTCCCCTCCTCCTCAAAGTGCACGGAAATCGTCGCATCACTGAAATCTCCGACCTCGAGTCGATTTCGATCCGCATTTCAGAGGCCCAAAATCCGTAAACCCCTGACATCCCCTGAGCCGTCGCAGGTCGCAGACCATGTGGCACCCTGAAAACTCGGGGACCCTTGCTCCGCGCCTCTTCAACATCCTCAGCTTGTAGCCAGGTGTCATCTTGCTCCGCGTCCTCAGAACATTTCGGGGCCTTTTCAGAAGCAACAAAAACCCTCAGAAATTCCCCACAAGTCTTGAAGGCTCAATAAGAACGAAGACAATGAGCGCTTAAACTTGCAATATTAAAATGAAACGCGCTCTTTTAAGATGTGCAAATTGTGAGCCCCCCACAAACCTAATTAGTTTCTCTTTACTTTTTGGTCTTTTTAATGGGCCTTTTATTATCTTCTTTGTTCATTCATCTAATATTAATAAACAGGCCCGATTATAATATTATTTCGATCTCTCTCTCTCTCTCTAACTTTTTTTTCTCTCTCTCTCTCTCTCTCTCTCTTATCTTTGCGTTCTGAACACAGGCTGAGCCGGCTGAGCTGTCACAGACTCAGGCACAGCTCCAAGATGTCATTTGGGTGCATGAAGCCCATGTGAGCTGAACAACGCCTAGAGTCTGCTTGCTTCTCTGAGAGCTCTGAATCCTCTTCGTCCACAAACCAGTCACTATCAATCCGGTCTCTGACCTTTCCTGAGCCACACAAGGTAAAGGCAAATGGTTCTGCACGCAGAAAGAGAGTAAAGCGCAACATTCAATAGCCGGGGTCGAACTCTGAACCCACCTCGCCCTCAGTGATGTGCCATCAACAAAAGGTGGGCCCAAGCACGGCCACTTACGCCACACGCAGCATTCAAAGAAAAGACTGGCACCCCTAATTCTCAGGCCAGCATCGGCTGCAACAAATTGCCAGGGTTGCCTAGCACGGGTGCTGACGAGATAAAATCATACGAGCCGCACGCTGCAACAGAAATCGGTGCATTTGGACCGCCATGGCTGCCAAAAATGCTGTTGGCATTCGTGGACATGTCAAAGGGACAACCCAACTGCGAGGATCACCAAGATGAAGGCAACGACCAGTGACATAAACACAAAATCTTGCAAGAGGCCTGGACCAAAAAACTTCAACTCAAATGGATTCCTCTTGTTTCAGCACGAATCTTTCGTATCAGTTGTGCGGCGAAGTTGCTAACGACAAGACTTTCCATCCATTTTGCCTCAGCCGCAATGCGTCACGGCCTACGACTTTGACATCTTCTGCACACCTAGCTGCTGGCACAGCCCAAAGCATTCAAGCCTTGCAAGATCCGCCCGGGACCTGTCTGCTGAGTTGCGGCATCCGGTGAACTCACGTTCGCCAGGAAGCAGAGGGTGTAGAAGATGCAGAAAGTGTTGTGCGAGCTCCAAAGCAGCCAGAACCTGACAAGTGCCAATGCTGCCAATAGTAATGACGGCTTCGAAGGGCTCTGCTGCGCAAAGAGGTTCGATCTTCTCGTCATGCTTGTTTGGCCCACTGAAGGACCAAAGCTTCAGACTGCGTGAAAGGTATTCTGCTCATGCCAACTGCTGTTGCCACCTCTTTTCCCTGTTTTACGAGCGACTACGACCGCTTGTACATCTGCCACCGAAACTACTCGCTGCTACTGCAACTAAGGGACACCATGGACTTGCATCTCCATTTGCGTAGCTGCTTCTGAATCTCAAGAGGGTTCCTGAGTGGACGTAGCCGTCAACACACTGGCATGTGCGACCCAGGCTTCATGGATATCTAGTGAATCTAGTGATGCTTAGCAGTTCTACAACTATAGCAACCACAAAAACTGCAGGCGAGAAAGTCATGAACCAAGAATGGCGACAAAAACTTTTGCAAGTCGGACAACTCGCAACAGTCTACTCATAGCAGAAAAATCACCGGTATACTATAAAAGTGTGCTGTATAGTCGTCTATGGTATATCCTATAAGATATTACGGGGTGTCTAAGATGTCGCAGCGACCCCAAACCCTCAAAACCCTTCAACTGACGTCCCAACTCTCGAAAGTGTCCGAAGGCCACAGTCGGGCCTCGCCGCCTCCAGCGGCTTCAAAAACTTGAAACTCTTCTAGCAACCGCTCTACTCAAAAAATGTATGCTCAGACGTGTTCCAAGATGTAGTATGTACTATAATCGACGCACACTTTATAGATAGTATCATCATCATCGACTGCACTGAGCCCGAAGTCAAAATGGTCATTCGCAACAAAACCGAGCTAGGCAGAAGTAAGGGTTTCACTCCTTACATCACATATGTGGCCAGGCACACCGGGACATGGTGAGGCACTGACGGTGGTCAGGATGCAGCCAAATGCTGCAAGAAGACCGAAGCAAAAAAACAGACCGCAGTGGCTGCAGCCTGAACACCAGTGCACGACGCACTGTGCACTAGTCACTTCCTAGAATCCAGCAGGGTCTGCGCTGTATTCGCAAGGTAACCTGCAGGACGCGGGCCGTGAAACTCATCAACCCCTGTACACTCTATGTGCTTCACTAGCAAATCTTCCAAATCATGGTCGCGCAGGCGAAGCAAGAGTCGTTTGTGAGTGTTCCCATACATCTTCTCACAGCGGCAAAGAAGGACAGCCAACATTGCTGGCTTCGAGCCGGGCTTGCAGGAAGCAAGGAACTCGTCAAACTTGGCCTTGTCGTCTGGCTGCGCCGTCTGGGCTGCAACGAGAACGAGGGCGGCGGCATTGAACGTATCAGGCGGCCCCAGGCCATGCCCTTTGTTGCCTTTGGTTTGCGCAGTGTATTGAGCATAGGCCTGCTGGAGGTACTTGTAGTACTCAGAGGACACAGGCAACGGCAGGGAGCGGAAGGCAGCAGCCTGAGTCAAGCGCAGCTGCTGCTCAACTACCACAGCCATCTTCAGAGCATGCTCTGCGATAGCAGTAGCTTCCTTGCCAGCGGTGCAGCAGCAGCAGAGGGCGCAGGTGGGGCACCGAAGACTTGGTGGAACGCAGTGTCCATGGCAACCCGTGTGCTAGAGCCACACTTCAAGGTCGGGAGGCAGATGCCGCTGCAAATGGTCTTGAGCCAAGGCGATGTCATCAAAGTCCAGCTGGCAGAGCGCGCACTGATAGGGAGGCAGGCTGAGGTGCTCGTGTACCACCACGCTGCCCGACCGGGCCGGACAAATACCACGCTCAAATGAGCTGGCAAGGTGCTTGGCAGCAATCCATTTACTCGCAAAGAAAGATCTACAAAGAAGACACTGATTGGACACCGTAAGAACATATGCCAGCTTACGCTTGCCATGCTCGGGCCGGCCAGATTTAACCTGATGTAGAACCAGTGCTTGGTTGGTACTGAAGCAAGCGCCACATTCCAACCCTGACGAGGGGTCAATGATGCGACAGACGTGCGGCTTTTCAGGCACTGCATCTGCCCTGGGGAGAGGCTCGTAGCCAGGTGGAGGGATGGCAATAGAGCACCTGGCCGCAAGGAGAATGGCAGGGTCAGAGCGCAAGAACGCGTCTCGAATATCGGGGTCCGTGAACAAGACCAGCGGATTGGACTGCACAGCACCGATGTACGACTCCAGAGGAGTGAGAGCAGCAAGAGCGCACAGGTCTGCGCAAAGCAGCTCAACATACTTGTGCTGGGTGCCAGCATTTGGTTTACTATGGCCCCAACAAGGCTCTCCAAACATGCTGCCCAACAGGCAAACAGAACGTTCAGGGTGCTTAACCACTTGCTGCCAAAGACGAAGTCGTTGTACCTGCACGGCAAAGCTGGGGGGGGTGACACTGAAGCATGCGAAGTGTTGTTGCATTGGTGAGCGACTTGAAAGGATGCGAGCGATCACAAGCCCTCCCCAAGAGCACCTTACGAGCGAGAAGGGCAGCTTGAGAATCAAGCGCGTTTTCCATACCTTTGGGCAAAACAAAGGAACAGAGGCCGGAAATGAGGGCACCGATGACCATGCTATTGAAAACCAAACCCTTCCACCTATTGTTACGAGTAGATCTCCAAAAACCACCCAAGATAGCATAAGCAGCTCTGGCTGCATGCAAACGGAGTCGTTGTTCTTCCGCCAGTGCGCCGTTGTACTGAAGCCTGGGGCCCAAGTAGCGAGCCAAACGAACGACTTTGCCAGGAATGGGCAAAGCAAGGCCATAAGCAGCACGCATATGCTGCGGGAACCACGCCCTGCAAACCTGAGCAGGCTTTCTTGCTTTGCTGTGTTTTGCACAATGCTGACAGGTCGCAAGGCAGCAGACAGGGCAAGAGACTGTGCAGTGCTTGAAGCCACAAACTGGGGAATATCTGCAACCAACCGCGTGCGTGCCAGGTCATCTGCGTACGCAGACAAAGAGACATCCACAGGGAGATGCGCTTGAGCACGCAGGGCGTGTTGGACACTTGGACCACTGTCAGTGATAATGCCACAGAGCCAAGGGCAATGAACGTGGAGAGGAGGTCCGACATGCAGACTGGCAAACCGGTCAACAGCTTGATGGTACACACCGAGAAACCACTCACAAGCGATGGAGTCACCGGGGAGGGTGCCCGACCCAATGCCAAGGACCAACTGGCCATCAGCGCTCCGTAGGTGTTCTGTCCCCAGCACTTCATGTTGTCGTCGTTGAGGATCACACAGGTGTTTACGTCACCTCGAAACGCTTGGAGCATCAGCCTAAACAAAGGTTTGCATGATTTAAGACAGCCTTCTCCTCATATTGCGTTTTGAGGGCTTCATCCAACCCAACAGTCCAACACCTTCATCACAACGTCTGCAAGGACCTGCTGTGCTGCTTCTCGTTGGCAGAGCTTTCCATGAGGAGCAGCGAGATGCAAGTACTTCGTCAAGAAATACAAGTTGCACCATGACTTGGGTTTCACTCGTACATGATGTAGATCAACGAGCAAGAGTTTTTGTCATCCGAGAACTACCACTTTGAATCCTTCTCCAGTATCAATCCATACTTGAGCCTTTGTCTGGCTTGTTGGTAACTCGGACACATTACGTAATCCTGCCGTTCTTCTCTATAGGGTCAACCGGTTTCAATCCGATACCGCGGCCCTCTTCGCAATCGGCTCCAATATGCTCCAATACGCTATCCGAGTGGTTCAACAATCGGAGACAAACCAAGCATTGGGGGATCGTGTCACCTTGGGGGGGAACTTCAAGGATCCGCCGAGCGGGCTATCCAGAGAAAAACGCTTCTCGAATCATCTGCAAGTGGGAAGGTTTGGCACTCTAGGGATCATGCAATCTCCTGTGCAAGTGGTGAAAATCCATGGACGGCCAACGGCCATTCCAGGGATTTCGGGTGGGCGCTTTGGAGTCAAGGCTTCAGGTGATAAGCATCCCGACTGACTATGTCTGGGTCGCAGGTTCGCCGGCGGCATAATCACGAACTCATCTTATACATGATCCCCAGTCCCGCTTGTCATTGGAAATGGCTTGTGAACAAGCTAAGCTTAACAAGTTTCATATCCGCTTGGGCGCCACTCACGTCAAAACCGCGTTCGGAAGTAGGTTGGCAGTGCGCGGGCCAGTTTGCAAAATCGGGATGTGTTGCCGTGCACAGACAGCAGTCAACAGCCGGCTGCCCGCTGAATATGTGACGAACATGTGCCCTTTCCGCAAATCTCAAGCGAACAGCAACACGTGGGGTACATCTTCAGACTGCCAAGTTGCCAGCTGCCACCTCCTTGGCGGTCTTGCCGGTTCCCAGATCGACGACCTGACCAATCGATCACGAGAATTTAGCAGAATGACGAAGACTTACTTACACAATATCTTGACGTTTATCATGCGTACGTTGAAATCAAATTTCCACGCAACCTGAGCTGCACGTTCCTCCTAACTGGCTTTTCCTAGGCCAGGATCTTTGCAGTCTTTTCGCTGTAAGCTCTATTAAAGTAGCGGGGGGTGGGGGGTGGCAGACTGCCAGACATAGCCGGTGCTTTTCGCATGCTTTCATCGAAGTGCTTGGGGCGACGAACGTTCTGCACTTGTGGCGTTGTTGGAGCGAAACTGTGGCTGACTGGTGGAGAGTGTTGAGCATCGGGCTCCCCCCCCGCTGTAGACAATGTCTAGCATGTCCCATGCAGGTAACGTAACAGCTTGACCATTGAGGTGTGCATGAGCGATCACTCTTCATTGCTGTATTCTTGGATGCTCAGACAACCGCCATACAACCAACAAAAGCACACAAAGTTCCTGTATTCGACCAGGCTCCGGCAGGTTGTCTCCCATGGTTGCAGCTGTCGAGCCTCTTGCCGACAGATCTCCAGTACTTGGCACGGCAGGAGTTTTTGTGGTTGCACGTGCCAAACAGCTCTCATGCTCCGAGGGTGACCGAGGGTGACCGGATACCTTCAGTTTCCATTGCTTGCATGTAGGCATTTGCCAGGACTTCAGGCTGCTGACCATGACGAGTTCCGAAACATGAAAAACAAAACCTTTTTTTCACACATGACGACACAAGGTGTATTGAGGTTCTTACTTCATGTGACTTCAGAACGGCTCAGAACTGCTCCACAATCTGACAGATTCTTGTCAAACCGCCGAAGCGGCCGCCGAAGCGGCTCGTTGATTGTGCCCGATGAGCTTTGCCCCAAACGGTTCCAAGATTTAAGGCTGGGGTGTGCGTGCAGTTGAGGGGTTGGGGTCTTTGGGTTTAGGGCTCGTTACACGTTTTAGAACTTGGAGTGTAAGCTTCGGGAGAGTTTAAAGGGCCTTCGCAACATAGGATTACTGCGCGGACTTATCTGAGGAACTGGTCGTACGTTTGGGGTTGGGGTTGCGGGGTTTACAAGAATCCTTTACAGGCTCCGGCTGAGGAGCCAAAACTTCAACAATCAAGCGGCATTTTGTTTGAGAGATGCACTTGCGTTTCCACGTGTAGCATTCCAAGCGGCCACCCATGTACCGTTGACGTAAACCTTAAAACCTGGTTCAGGGTTTAGGGTTACACACACACACACACACACCCACACCCATACACGCACGCGCGCACGCGCGCGCGCGCGTGCGCGCACCGACATCGTAAGGGCGACTGCGCGCATCTTCAGACTAAGCGTTCAACCACAAGTACACCTGGCGGAGAATGTGGGGCTTCTCGTTCTTGCGTCGAGGGGCAGATTTTTTCGCCTCTGTTGGACACGAGCGTCTGAGTAATGTCGTGGCTTGATGTGGCTTGTCATGTGGCGGCTAGTTCCGCAGGCTTGCAGCTGCCCTCCAAAAGCAGTCGATGGTTTCTTTAGCTGGAAACTAAACTGGGCATGCGCAAAGGTTGACGTCGGATAGTGGGACTGGCTAGAAAACTCTGAAGGATTCCAGGAGCACTCTCGGGCAGTGCAGCTGCTCCAGTGAAGCCGTGAACTCTATAAAGCTTGCAAGAAGCTAGCGGCTTTCCCTCTTATGAGGGCGATGCTCAAGGCTCACAAATTGCAGCGATGGGACTGCTGTGGCAGGAAACCTCATCCCATTTTTGCACAAAAGATGCACAACTGGGGATCTAGGTGCAACCTAGAAGGTACCGGCAGACTAAGGTGGTTCGGTTCCACGCTGTTGAAGGTGGTAGTCCGTTTTTTTTGGCGGAGGGTCTTGCATTCAGGATTCTCCCTTGCAGCACATGCGCAGATTGGCCACAATCAAGATACATTCAGATCCCTGCCGAGCAGTCTCTCGGTGCAATCAGTTACCAATGCGACGTGTCCAATGTCACAAAATCGGGATCGTACCATTTCCGTTTCAGATTCGTTAAACTGCCACAACTGAAGGAATCAGCGGGCGAATGTTCAAAGCTTGAAGAGTCTCAACACACATGTGCTTGCGGCCTCCATCCATGGGCTGCGAACAACTCTATTCCAAGACTACAGGCCGGATTTCTGGACCATCAAAGAATATCAAAACCTTTGCTGCAAGGCACAAGCACAACTGAGTTAAAATGCCTCAGGTTGGTGGAGATAGGTGACTGGCTTAAAGCGAAGGCCACCAAACCCACTTCTGAAAGCGGAGCAAAACTGTACAAACCTGCCACTACCAGGCTACCAGGGTTCTCTTTATCGATCTGGTTCATTCAGAAATAAGAGGACCTGTATTTGATGTAGCAATCAGTTCTGTCGGCCGGCGAAAGCTAGTTGACCGATAAAATGGCGCGATAGAACTTTGGTTTAGGACTTTGTGCGGTGGCATTAGTAGCATTGAGGAGTGAGGGCGCAGGAGGTCATTGCAACAAAAACCTGGTCACAGCCCCCCATACATTCATCAAAGCTGAACCGAATCGTTGAGTTCGACATTTGTTCGGAAATTTCCTTCTCCCGGTTCTCCGCGAGCCCGAATCGAACCCTTTATCCCCCGCCCGCTCCTGGACATGGCCCATAACTTGGACTTGGATGACCACTGCTCGGGCCCAGGGGCCCAGAGTGGGTTAGGGCCTTGGGCTTTTTTCGAGGGTTGCGGGTTGTGGGCTTCTTGTTTCGTTCTGCGGTTTTGGGTTGCAGGCTTCAGATCGTGAAGGGTTTTGCGCGCTCGAGTTTCGCGCGCTTCCCCGTATCAGGGGAACTACAGGGGAAGCGCGCGAAACTCGAGCGCTCAAAACCCTTCACGATCTGAAGCCTGCAACCCAAAACCGCAGAACGAAACAAGAAGCCCACAACCCGCAACCCTCGAAAAAAGCCCAAGGCCCTAACCCACTCTGGGCCCCTGGGCCCGAGCAGTGGTCATCCAAGTCCAAGTTATGGGCCATGTCCAGGAGAGCGCGGGGGATAAAGGGTTCGATTCGGGCTCGCGGAGAACCGGGGAGAAGGAATCTGATTTAGATCTCCGAACAAATTTCAAACTCAACTGATTTCGCCGGCTGAATCGATTTTTTGTTGCAATGACCTCCTGCGCCCTCACTCCTCGATGCCACTCCTGCCACCGTCCACAGCCAAGTAAAGGGAAACCCCTCTCTCATTCAAGCAATTAAAGTTAATTAAAGGGTCCTTTTAATTCGTTTTTGAAAATGCTCAAACATATAAAGAGAACCCTGGCCACTACGTCTGAGGCCGGCGAAAAACCTAAAGCAAGTCCCCGAGACCCGACAGTTTCGGGCCTAACCTGAGGGGGGCTGGTGGAGAAGCTTGGAGAGACAGAGGTGTGCGGTGTGCAAGTTCCTCGCTCGATCTCAGCCTCGGCAACTTTTCACGCATGAGCCAAGAGCAGTACTGCGATGCTCGGCAAGCCAGCGTCCAGTTCAGCCACTTCTCTCTTTGCTGAGCGCCCTAAGCCGAGGGGCTGTAAAACCCGATGCTCCGAGATCTTCATGGAACATCACATGTCCCAGGATTGCTCCTCAGGACGGCTCAGGCTTCGCGAGTAGAACCAAACCAATTGAAGGCTCAGTGCACCACAAGATTACGACTAGTGTATTGGGTTTTGGGTTTAGTTTTAGTTTGAGGGTGTGGGGCGTGCTTGTGCAGTGCTTGTTCGAATGTGTTTCCTTTGCTTGTGTGTTTTGTTCGGGAGCGGGAGAGGTGTAGTTTCCCATAAGCCGCTGCGTTCTCTTGCTGTGTCCTAAGAACATCATTCGTTGTATATAGTTAATCACTCCTCCTAGATTTTTGGGATGGTGCGGAATCCCGAACTTGCTTGTCCTCTTCAATCTGTCCCTTGCTGCCGCCGAGAGGGTGAGGGATCAAAACAAATTACAATGATCAAAAAGACTATAGGGATCACAAGACTTGATAAGGATGAAAAAAAAGAGGCCGCGCTCGATGCTTCAAATTACAACCTTTTCTGATTCGCGGCAGGCCTCTGAATGCGTCTTCTGCGCGATATGGCACGGCTGAAAAGAGCGGCGGGGTTAGGGGGTCTCGCAGCCCCCCTTCCAGTTGTAAGCGCAGTGCCTGTTTCGCAGGTTTGGAAAGGACTTAGTTGTTTTTTAAAGCAATTCCTCTTGATGGCCCGCTACTCTTCTCTCTCATTCTGCGTTTCTTCCGGCCACTACATGGATGACCGCGAGGCTCTTTCTCAACCGCCGCAGGTGTAATTGGGGATAACAACGGACATGGGGGGAAGTCCTGCCACCTCAACATCCACAATGGGAGGCCCTCCAGCTCTTCCACATCTTGTCGGCTGTGGCATTGCGGATCGCGCCGTAGGTCGCCAACACTTCCTGACCAGATACCAAGAAGAAACGATCCTACGCACTTCCACTGCAACCATCGTTGGAAATCAATGCCTGCAGGGACACCCACAGAGGCCGGCGCGTTGTGCCGATAATTCGGGTTCTGGCTTTGGTGCTGCTGCTGCGACTGATGCCGTGGCTGATGCTGCTGCAGCAGCTGCTGCAGTGCAAGTGTGGTGGTGCCCTGCCGCCCGTGAAATTTGGTCACATTCTGTCCCTTACCTCCCCACATACTAATGATTGGGTAGTGTCCAAGAACAACATGCGCCAAGACGCCATTCGTTGCTTGGACTCTTCCAAGACCTCCAAGTTCGGCGGCTTTCCCAATCCTGGAGGAAGACTGAGTGGAGAGAACTTTCACTGTTCCAGCCCGACGTGGCAGTGGCGGACTCGTACAATTCTGTACAACCACCAGCCTCAACCGCAAGTCCTCCTACAGCTCACATGGTGTCTTGCAGCCAGGTACTGGGTGATCCTACTTCGTGTCCTGCGGTCTCGTACCGGTCTACAAGCATGTCCATCTCCTCAAACAGAACCTTCAGGAAATCGGATGGCTGCCGTCAGAAGCTCATGGCAGTCTTGTGGCCATAACTTGACTCGAGTCAAAGCACGAGCAATAGCAACATCGGTGGCTTGCCGCTGACATTGCAAGATTTATGTGGCCATCTGCCACCTAAAAAAACTCAGAACATCATGCAGCGTGTTCAACTTACCTGACGAAACGCTGCATGTGGCAAAAGAAGTGGTAGGCTGGTAGGCGAGATGCTAGGAGCGGCAGTGGCTAGGAACATTTGCTTTGTAGCAATACGAGTAACAACGACACTCCAACAACTACAAGAACAGCTGTAGCTAGGACCACAGTAGCATGACACAATGCGAACATAGTAGCGTCGACAGTAGCACATGTAAGATGGGTAACAATGGTAACCTAGAAATACCATTGGTAACAGACACACATATCCCAATAACAAAATCGTTCACCTCAAAAATTCCATCTCAGGGGTCGGTTTCGGAAGCTTGCAATAAGGAGGCAGAGCCCAAACAACAACAGATTACAGCTTAGGACCTTAGGAATGTGTTGAGCCTTTACATCGGCTGCTACTGGCGAACAAACCGCCTGGATCTGCTGGAGCGTTTGCCCGAAGTGGCCACTTTGAAGAGCCTGCCCCATGGCTTGCAGAAGCAGACCTTCGGCAGAATTTGAACCCTCAAAATTATCTTGTAGATTTTGATTTCTCTGGGCTGGAATGTAGCAGCTGCCCGCCCCACCCCAAAGTTGCAAGCCCCTACTCGTACGTATTTCGCGGTGCTCACACGGGATCCCCTTACCAAGCGACGTCAAAGGTAGCAGGAGCACTACTTCGGGCCAAACCGGAAATCCACTACGTGCGACCTTTCCACGGGTTCCTCACACGCTCCGGCTAGCCTGATCATTGTTACTGTTTCATATCCGAAGCATTCCACACATCACACCCCAAACCTCCACCCCCCGGTCAAACACCAAGCCTCTCTACACAACCTCCAGGAACTCAGCAACTCAAAAAGAGGGCCTCTTCCGAAGCTTGAGTCCTGAAGCGTCGTCGCGTTGCCAGACAAGCTTCGTGAGGTCACGCACGGCGCGCAATGGGCTGTCTCATTGGCCTGCAGCTGGCGACGATACAGGTAGAGGCACTAGCTTTGAAACGCTCAAGCACAGAAGCTCAGAGCGAAGCCCCTGACAGTGCAGGTCTGCGCATAAGCACCCTGTAAAACTGTCGCGCCTGTAAGACCTCCGTGGTATTCACAGTGCCAACGTCCCTCCGTGCGAAGGCCCTCAAGATCCCGGCCTCATGAACACGGCAGAACGACAAAACAAAACACATCTTAAGGGGATTTTGGGAATGCACTCTGACATGACCCCCCCCCCCCAAAAAAAAAATTAAAAAAATTGCGCCGCGTGTAGAAACAGAAGAACTAAGAAGGAATGTAAACGAAGGATTACAGGAATTGCCACCGCAGCACCCTGTGACTAACCTGGCGAACAGGTTCTGTTGCATGTGCTGAGTATACTGGCCACAGTTGCGAAGTGCAGGCGGAACTCATGAATGTTGAGTCCAGCAGTAGCTACTCGCAGGTTTCGGATTTGCTTGGAACTGAGCCACCTTTGGCTTTCGGGTGGAAAGTTAGCAAACTTTCTCGTTAGGCGCCTGTGATGGCGCTTACCTTCGAGAGCCCATGTAGAAGGCCAGTCATGCGAAACCACATAGTGCCGCTAAGTTGGGGTGCGCCTCCAATTTTCTCTTGGCTGCTTTCAACAGAACTGGACATGGCGTGCCCCAGACTTGTCTTCCAGTCACATGCCGATTGATATGCCAAAGCACGGAAGAAACCCAACAATTCATGCAACGACAGCGCACGTATAATAGAGCCTCACACAAACAAACAACTCCAAACATGATCTGAGCTGCGTCCAGTACCTGCGATACCAGCAGGCCAACCAGCGGGTTCGCTGCCGACCAGACTGCCTACAATCACTTCAAAGACTTGCTGACCCATCTCAAAACAACTTTGCTCACTTGCTTGGCGATCCAGACTCAGGCTGCACGGCTCAGAGCCTACAAACTCGACATGCCCAGGCTCACTCTTTGCTGCGGTTCATACTTCCAGACACATCCGACGTACGATGCATCCTTGATACAGATGACTTGGGCTTTAAGTGGAGAGAGATTCTTCGTGCAAGTCGAATCGGAAACAACAACTTGCTGACGGTCCCAAATCATCCAAGTTTGGGAATGATGCCATCCCTGTTGGTCCCTGTTGCAAGGCACCACATAACCGAGGGCAACGCCTTCAATGTCCGCTGTTCACTTCCATGAGCCCTCGCGGAGTCTGCATACGCTGATTTCAATGCCGTGAAGGACATGGAGCACCTGCAATTTGGGGGTGCAGTGGGGAGGGTGTCCAAAGAGATCTCGATTCTTTGAGTTGTAGGACGCGCCATCCCAAGGAACCACAGAAACAACAATGCTCCGCTGCCAAGATCACAGTGCACTTTCCTTGTTTGGCAAAGCCTCCCCACCCAAGAGAGAGAGAGAGAGAGAGAGAGAGAGAGACTGGTCAAACCAAAATGTCAAATGGCAAAAGCAAAAAAAGGCCCTCACGATTGGATAAACAAAACACTCCATGCAGGACCTCGTTCTGCAGAGCATGCTGATCGTCTAACGTGGCCCGGGCTGTATCTTCTCTCAGGAAAGCCCAGAGTCAGTCTATGTCCTTCGAAGCACTCCATTCATTGCTGGCTGACCCAGACAATGCATGGACCCGTGTCAGCAAGAACCAACGTTCGGCAAGCTAGCGCATGTCGAAAAGTTTCACACTACGGTGCACACAGATCAAGAACCCGACAGGTGCCAGCAAGCACCATGGGCTTCTCCGTGGGTTTGGGTGGGCTTGCATTACATCTGGTGCATCAGCTTGTCACTGCTATCAACCATCAACAGTTTCTCTTCAATACTTCTCGTGTCGCAAGACCTAACTTTGCAATTGCAATATTTCCGGATACAGAGTCCCGATTGGCCTGTCAAATGCCTCCACAAAATTTGCGCCTTGCAGTGTAGCTGTCCAGTGCCGTCAATGCTGAGTTGAACTTAGCCCAGTACTCCTCCATGGCTTCGAAGTACCTGCTGGGATCTTTGGACGCCTTCTTCCAGAAGTGCAACTTTTCCCGGCATTTTTTTAGACACTCGTTGTTTGCTTGATGTGGGCCTGTCAAACTGTGCCCGAAGCTGCCACCACGTCCTTAAGACAAGCGAAAGGTTCGAGTCGCACAAGCCTTGTGCAACTACCAACTGTGCTTAGAGGTTCGGATTGCTCTTTACAAGAAGTCAACATACTGCCATGCTGTGAAAGCGATGAAACTTTGAGCATCCATGGGGCTTATCCACGGAGTCAATGGCCAGCATCAAAGACTCTTCCTGCAGCTCCTGTGCCAGATCCTCGATGCTCTGCTGTGAGCTTTGTACCCATAGCAGTTGCCTCTGCTTACTCTTCAAGGCCACGTTTTGGTACAAGCCCAGCGTGTGTGTCTTGGAGCGGGCGACTCGCGTCATGGAGGACACGTACTCCGTGACACGGTGGGCCACGGACTCTGCCTTCGTGATCTTCTGAGTCGACGTGGCACCCACAAGCTCGTGGAGCCTGCTCACCTCAAGGATCTATGTAGTTGCTTCTGCTTACTTTTGATTCTTGAATTCATCATCCCGCCAAAAAAAAGGTCGAAAAGGGAGATCCCGACCTGGCCCTCCACGTGATGGAGCCCCGAGGTAAGGTTGCCACCGGCCGTCCAACCTTTCTGACCTGCAAGGCCCCAGTACATTCCCAGCGGTCCTTTCCCTGAATTATGCACTTCTAGCTGAGGAGCCAGTGTGCCAGTGTGCCCAAACTCAAATCTGTCTAGTTGAGGGACCTGCGGCAACTCCGCAACACCACAAACCCTCAAGATCGGTGAGGGAAGCTCTCATCCTCAAAGGACGAGTCATCCTGGACCCCCGCGCCTTGCTGTCGCAGCTGAGCCACGAACCTCGGCCGCAACTGTCCTACTGGAGGCGACTGGTACTTCTACTTGTACGCCACATAACAACATGTCTTCAGCATTGCCTGAAGCCTGAATAGTGGCCTCATACAAGCTTCCGCTGCATTGTACCTAAAATGTTGGGTTGCGTGAGGTCACCTGAGCTACGCGAAGCCTTTAAGCCACGGCAGTTTGGGGCCCAGGAACGACTCGATGCTTCTGGCCGTAGCTTTCGCGGCCATGGGGTGGAGCTGGGATGCCTTGGCTTGAACTGGCAGCACAGGCTCTGCGGCATTTGGCTGGCATTTGTAATACCGCAAGGCTTAGGACATAAAAACTTCCCCGCAAGTGCGCACGTGCGCGAAAAAACATTTGGCATTTCATGATGCTGCCTGGCACTGAACTAAACTGCACAAAGTCTGCGGTTGCAGTGGCGGTACACCCCTCGATCCGCCTGCTACCATACTAGCTCCCCCAAACACAAACACGGGCGCTGGTTCTGGCAGTGCCAAAACTGCCTGCAACACCTGAAGGAAGTACCCAGACCTGAAAACAAAGAACTAGGAGCACAAACAGGTCTGAGCTTTGCAAAGGTTCGGAGGTTGGCCTTTTGGGATGTGGTCTCTGAGGTGGAGAAGCCATATTTTGGAGATGTTTTTCTGCGGGAATCTTTTGCTCGTACGTGCCGTGGAGTGGAGTGGTGTGGCATGGAGCATACTCTGCCGAGATTCCAGGAACGCCACGACTCTTTTCATGCACATGCTTCGAAGGACCTTCAGTTGACCCTTTCCGTCGCACCGCTTTTGGTCTGGCTACTAATTCCTGCCAACATACCCAGAAAACTGATTGTTGTGAGAACCTTTTTGATAAGCCTGGCAGCGGAGGGGACGTTCGGTTTGTCAGGCATCGTCATGTACGGAAATTGTAGTTTAGCTCGCTTTCGATCAAGCTTCTGGCATCCACCCCCCCAGCCCCCCCTTCCCCCTCCCCCTTCCCTCCCCCAGCCCCGTTCTCGCCCCCACCCCCTGGGGCCCTTCCCCCCCACCCCCCCAGTCTTTGCAGGCATGCAGCTCGTACCATGGCCTGCATCTCCGCCAATCTTGCGCCGATGGCTTGCACCATCCTCAGGCGATGCTGCACGCTGCGGTGGCATACGTGCAACGTCGACACTCAGTGTTTCATCGAAGATGACTATGACGCGCCTCCATTTTCAACTAGCCGGTGCTATCAACAGCCCACCGAACCGCAAAAGGTCCCTGTCTCCAGAACCAAAAAGCAACAGGCTTCGATCAGCTGAACTGCATGGCAAGAATCCCTGAGGAAGTGGTTGCCTCATCAAGCGTGGTTTCCCCCAAATAATAATCGAAGAGATGCTGAGTCGAGTTCTGTATGTGGTGGACGGCCTCGCAAAACGAAGAAACACAATTCGCAGCCCCAAAACACATTACCCTTGAGCTACACTACGCTTCCTCTTCGTTGCTGTTCAGGATACCCGGCGCTTAGCTTGGGGCTCTTCTGGGTCGGGGCCTGTCTGTTGCGTGGTTCGGGGGTTCAGAAGCTGTGGATACGGTAGCCCGAAGTCCCTGACCTCTTCCAGGTTTGCGAGGATTGCTGCGTCCCCAGCTTTGACAGCATCGCGGACGCAGTGCAAGTCGCAGAACATCCGGGCAAGGCCGTGTTGAAGAGGCAAGCAGTCGTTTTTGTTGTTGGGGCCGTAGAAGGTGGCCGTGGTATACTCATGAGACAGCTTGGCCACGTCGATGCCGTGCCCTGCTAGTTGGAAGAACAGCTTCCACCCGTCTCTGCCCAAAAAGTCCGCAATATCCGCCGCTCCGCTGGCTAAGATCCGCGGCAGCCCCCACCCAAGGTCAGTGTTCCTGTGCTGTCTGCTTTTGAAAAGCACACACATCAAGAAGTTCTACATCACGCACACAACGCGCCAAGCAGAGCGCAAAGTCACTCTCTCAGGCGCGCATGACATAGCTCATAACTCCACGTACGTTGAGCATAGCGGCATAGTGAGTTTGATCCGAATGGATGCTCCTAGACTCCTCGACCGAGCCTCGACCCCACCAACCGGCCATACTAAAGGAACAAACAGTCTTTACAGCACAGCAAACTATCCGACACCACTCGCTCTTCCTTCCACTACATTGGACAAACCGAAGCAGGCAGCACCCAGAGGTCCATGGCACGATTGAAAAAAAAAGGTTGGTAGCGCATCATGATGCCGGAGGTCTGTGCCCCCTGCTTTGGGACAATGTCCAAGGATTCGCCCCCTTTGCGATCTCCCTCCTCTCCTTCCCCCCCCTCGCCCTCTCCGCAGCCTCGCTTGCAGCAGCCTACTTCTCCGCGGGCTCTTCGACAATGGGCCGCTCCCATTGATGTCCTGACGACCCATCTTATCTGCCCTCCGTCCACGGCACACCCGTGGCGGCCAAAGGTTTGCTGCAACAAGCCCTCGGCAATCAGCGGATTCAGTGCAAACGACACAAGCCCTGCGCCTTCGGCACTTGCAGTCCCGGGACAGGGAGAGATTCATGTGCCGCGGGAGGCTGAACCATGTGACGAGATACAGGCTGCATTTAGTACCAACAGTACCCTTCGCTATAAGTGGGGACACTGGCAAGCCTCGAAGGAGTCCTCTGTGCTCCGCTACTGAAAAAAAGAGCAAGAAGAACGCATCTGGACAACAACCGAGAGGGCAAAGCTGACAACTCGCTAGGGGCGACCTGCATACAACATCGCGCTGTTCTTGGTCACTCCCCAAAATCGTCGAAGCAGCTTTCCTCAAAGCCGGAAGCGAGCAGAAGCACAGCGTGGCGAGTGGCCCAGCGTGGACCGCGTGATTGCAAAGTGGTTGAGCTGTTGGAGGGTCGGGCATGGTGGGGCATCCATGCACGAGAACGAGAAGGTATTGCCGAAACTGCAAAACAGACTCTGGATGCCGAAGAAGTATGAGTGTCTGTTTGCCTGACTGCAACGCATACCAGCAGCAGGTCAGAGAGACCGCATGCCTGCTTAATGCATGTTCAAGCCAAACACCATGTGTCATGAAAGCGTGTCACGACATCAACGGGACAGGAAAGCCTTAGCTTGCCAAGGATACGAACGAAGACAGCTAAAGTCAGAGAGAGAGCCGAGCAGGAGTCTAGGGATGGTGTACGGATCATCACCTCAGTGGTTCTACGATGTTCTACGAGCAGCCCAAAGGAGCAACAGAGTCCGGGAAATCGACGACGCTAATAACGCTAATGATCCGCGACGCAGGATGCACTTGAGCTCATGGTCACATGGTGGCAAAACGAAGGCTTGAGTTGGTGTCGCTTCCAGGATTCCACATCAGCGTCTATCCGCAGTGTATGGCGAGTCCTTTTCGACAGACTTCCTTGCTTCCATGCTGCGTCAATGAGCTGCAAAACGAGATGGATGGCTTGGACAGCTCGCAGATTTTAGCGATGCATGGAACTGCCGAGAATTTGCTCGGATGTGGAAAGGGGCAACAGGCAGCGCGAAAAAAGAACGAGTGCACGATAGACTGTTTTTCAAGCCATCTCTTGCGGAGTGGACGAGACATGTCGGAAGCTGGAAATGAGAGTCGTGTTAGAGACATTGAAGCACCATGGCGGTGCAGGTGTGGCGGGACTGGCTGTTGGATGTGGGTGCGAGAAGGGCATGGAACAAACAAAAAGCAGATTGTGAAGTCCTTAAGCTGAAAAAAAACAAGAGCGAAAACGAAGTGCCAGAGGCAGCTGAAGCTCCGTGAAAGGGTTCCAAAGTCTGCATCCCGACTGATCTCTCGATCAGCACACTCCTTGACGCTCTTGTACGTCACCTGAGCTGTGATAGTCTGTCATCAGATTTCATCTACTTATCTGCGTCTAAGAAAAACCCAAATCGGAGACAGTTGCATAAAACGGGACCTGGCCACTCCTTTGGAGTCCTCCCACTTCCGCCAAGGCCATTTGTAAACTACCGGGCTGGCCCTCCACCTCATGGAATTCGCCTCATCTTGGCTAGCAAAGATGTAACGGCAAGGGTTCTCCTCACCCAGCCCTGAGGCATTTGTGTTCATGTCTTCAGAGCTGAAGTTCTCGTGTCCTGGGTGGAATTCATCCGCACATTCACCAAGATACTGCGGCTGACCCGTCTGGAATGTCAAGAGCTCTGGTTTGGCCACTGGGAGCACTGGGAGCACGGCTGCAGGGCTTGAAAACCTGATGCTGATGCTTGTTGGCTTGCTGAGGAACCTACTCAGGAAAGGTACTTTTCCTAAAAAACACTCGGTAACGGTAGTAAGAGGGCAAATGAAGGGCTCTGAGGCTCTCATGGCTCTCAACGCTTAATCTGCTGCCCAAGAAGCGCTGTCACAGCTTCCGTCGGCTCTGGCGTGGCCAATGCTTCAGCCCCTTGTGCCGAGAACTGCGAGCTGAAATCGCGCAACGGGAACATGTGCCAGCCGTAGCCACTGCTGTAGCCGGGGTAGTCCTGAAACGGCTCAGAACAGACAGCGCTTTGTACAGGAACTCTTCGTAACTACGCAGCCAAAGCTTCTTGCTTGGGGAGGCCCGTCCTTCGATGTCGTGCTCGAGTACGCAAACTTCGTCTCCAGCGCCAACGGGTGAACGGCATCGTTCTGGACGCACGACTTGTCCCCGTCCACTAGAAGCAGGCACCACTGACCTGTTTTCCTGTCGTAGGTCAGATTGCCAGTAAAGTTCTCCTGCGAGTGGAAGCCAAGGTGTTGCTGAAAGCTGGGTCGGCCAGAGTAGTCAACACTTTGGGGACAATAAATCCCATCTTCCCATGCGATGTCATGATCACGAATGCCCTGGGGAGCCAGTGTGACAGGTAGGGACATCACCAAGCAGCAAGTGGCCCTGAAACGAATGGCTTGGCTGCTGACATCATGTTCACACTTCAGGGATTGCATGGCATGGCCGTCGCCGCAGTCAACCTCAACATGCTTCAAGGACTCGAGGTTGTCAAGCTCCGACATTTCGACTGATGTCTTCTCAAAACAAGCACCCAAGCCCACCACCTCAGCACATTTCCAGTGCATCTGGTCAGCCGGAGACCCGTCGACTTGCACTGAAAGCTTGGTCAAATCCTGGATGACATGCTGCTCCCCGCAATCAATCTGTAGCTCCAACAAACCGAGCGTGCTCAGGATTGTCCACTGGTATGCCGCTTGCGAATAGTCGGACAGCCAAGATAAGTACTCGGCTTTCACAGAAAACTGGCCGTCCTGCAGGTATGCGACTGGTCCATCGGGGTCACGGTACATGATCAAGGCCCCAGACTCTGTGTACCCGAAATAGGGCTCATCTGTTATCTCGCTGCCCCCCCATGTCCCAAATACCTGATTGTCGTCAGCTATCTCGCCGGCATACAATTTGAAGATGAAAGTCGGATCTGCAAAGCTTAGTGAAGAGCACTCGCTGCAGCCACTGGTGCCACACTCCGCGCATGTGGCATCGTATGTCCAGTTGAAAAGCTGGTTAGTCGAACCAATGCACGGTCCCGCTGAGGACACGAAGTGGAGTACGCCATCATCATCTGTGTCCCCAAACTGCACGCAAGTCCTCGCAGTGTGTGTGTGTGTGTGTGGAAGTAAGTGCGGCAACAGTGCAATGTCGAAACAAGACTCCAATCTCGAGAGGCAAGCTTCATGCTAGGATTGAACATGGTGAGAGGCATATGCAGGGCTGACTGAATGTCATGTCCTGTAGAGCTGGTTCTGCATGGCAACCCGAAGCCAAAGGAAGCTCTCTTCGAAATCCGAAGATCGGAAGTTGGCGACAGTGCAGGTCTTTTGGAGGCCGAGCTCCCGCTCCGATTCGGTGACCTGCAAATGAAACCCCAGACTCTGAGTACGAGTACCAAATATCTGGACTCCAACTTCCCTGCCAAGAGAAGGCTCGTATCCTTAAACCCTAAACCCGAAACCCGAAACCCTAACCCCTAAACCCTTTCCTAAGTTTTAAAAACGGCAAAAACCCCGGGAAAAATGCATTTTGCGTGCCTTTGTGGGGGACGAAAGGTCACTAGGCAGAAGCTACAGCGTGGGAGTCAGCAAAGGTCCATAATGCGCCGCGTGAGCATCAGAGGGTTGCGCGAAATTGTCAGTGCCCCATTCCGAAAGTTTGTGGTCAGAAAAACTTAGAAAGCAAGACAAACAAAAAGTGAAGGCAACATGTCCGTCCAGGTCCAGGTCGCTTTTTGCAGGCGACGCAGCAGCTGAAAAACAGCAAGACAAGCATCCTCCTCCTCCTCCTCCTCATCATCATCATCATCATCATCACAAGGAGGGCGCTCTACTCCATTCCGCACCACCCGCCGAGTAAGATCTGACACGGATGACAGGGTCTGCGCGCTGAGCAGGCCGCCAAATTGGGCCAGTTTTCTGCGGGACCCTCCCCACAACCCCCTAGTGCAGATCAGCAAAGCTGGGCTTCAAACTCTCTCCCAAAACACACAGCCAATGTCAGCGTCCAACGGGGCAGAATCCGCAGTCGCGTTTCGAGATCGCTTTGGTCCAACGGCCTGTGCCAGGCCTGCTTCCACATCACGGCATGGCATCAGCATGTCCCGTCTTGCGCTTGTTGAAGCTCGCTGCCAGCACGGAACTCACCACCAGCCACAAACTGCTCCATGGCTATTCGAGTGCTTTTGCGCGACGAACATGCAGAGACACAGCGGTAGCGAGTCACAGATCCAGTCAGAAGTTCAGAAGGCTACAAAACTACAAAACAACCTGCCTGGCCGAAGCTGAAGGCCCGCAGGGCAGACGTGCCGCCGCACTCCGTCTCCAGCTCCAACTCGTGGAAGTAGGCCATGCCCTTCTCGCCTGTGATGACCGTATCAGAGGACTCTTCTTCCTGGTAACTTTGCAGCAGCAGCAACGACACCTCACAAGCAACTTTCTGAATTCGGATGTCCTCAGAACATGCTCGCAGACACTTCTTGCAAAAAACTGCTGCCAAAGCATCCAAAGCATGCCCGGCCTGGTTGGCATCAAGGAGCTGGGTCGCAGAGTGGTCGCAGTCTTGCAGGACCAGCCCGGATGCGGAGGCTGTCAAGCACTGGTCGGTGCTGCAATCGATATTCCGGAAGCCCCGCAAAACCTGCGGCGCATCAGTCTGGACCTCTGCCACGTACTCTTTGCACTCAGAACCTGTAGCATTCTTCACAAAGTACTCCGCATTGATCACAGAAATGCCAAGCTGGAAGACCCACCGACTTGCGAAGAACAGCTCCTCCTTGGCGCGAACTGCCAGGTGCTTGTAGCTGTGACTGACGACTTCAATGCACGAGGCGCACCTGAGCAGAGCTGAGCCTCTACACGTTACACGTTGGTACCAGCCACGCGTGCTTATGAAAACAAAGCCTGGCGTGCCTAAACAACACCCAGAAATAGCTCTGCAAGCAAGCACAAGTTGATGCAACACACAGTTCGCTCCAGCTAATAGCAGACGGAGCATCTAAGTCCATCTTCGATTCAAAACGTCAAGTCTCGCAACAACTGGGAGCAACAAGCAGAGTTGTTCAGGTACCCAGCAAAGTTCGTGATGAAAAACACTGTATATATTATGCATTTCACGATTAGCCGGCATGCAGAAAGCCGACATCCCCGAGCGGAGCAACATGCGCCCCTCTACGACAGTAGTGACTTCAGCTTTCAACAACCGTCTCCTATTGTGGCCACCGGGAGCCAAGATCAACTTGCCTCCTAAAGATGCAAACTGGATGTCTTCTTTTCATCTGACCTTCGTTGCAGTTGCTTTCCAATATGAGTTGACAAGCAAAAGCTACAAAGACAGCCCCTGTTGTGGCATATCAGTCTGCCGACTAACACACTGCCGGCGAGCACCACAGTGAAACCAGCCCTACTTGTGATGAACAGTGACGGTGCAAGAGTAAACTGCTCGGCTGCAGAAGCCCACATGGAGACTTGGACTTGAATAATGAATCTAGCATGCAAAACCCTAAGCCCTACAGTAACGGCCCTAACTATCACTCTTAAGGCTTTTGAAAAGCAGTTGACAACTCTGGGCCCCCACTCGAAGTTGGCTAGGCCAGCAGAGCCTTCCGAGTTGATCCAAGCACCTGCAGACGACAGACCCGAAGAAAGCAGCCTCAAGGCTAAAATGTCTCAACGTGTCTGCGATGTGTGTGTGGTGCTTCAAATTCAAAGGGAAAACGCCCACAAAGAGCTTCTTAATCAGAGTAGGCTGGGGAGGAACTCCATGCTTCTTAACCGGTAGAATCGAAAGAAAGCAAAAATGGGCGGGGGGGGGGTGCCCTTCGGCCCCCATGTCGCTACGGGTTTCTCAAGGGCTGCAAGCCAGCGAGGTGGGCGCGTTGCGGCTGACCCCTCAAGAATATTGCCGGGTCCCTGCCGTGGTCCCCTGGAGCCCCGCTTTGGAAGATGCACAACTCCACCGAGACCCCCCACCACACCCCCCCCAAAACCCCCACCCACTCACCCTGGTCTGTTCGGTTTCTTTCACATGTGTTGGGGAGGTATTGGCCAGCATGCCGAAGCGTTGACTTGTTCAGGTGTCTGGAGGGTGGGGAGGCATTCCCTCACTTTTTGGCTTGTGAACGAAAAGTCTTCTGCTTAGGGCTGGGTCTGGTGCTGCCCAAGATGACCTGAGGCTGCAGCAAGCCATCTCGGCCACAAAAAAAACAAACAAACACAATGATCACAATGCTTCTGTTCGGGAGCACAACCCCAGAGGACCTGCCACACATCGCAACTCGGCCTGCTCGGCTCCAGGTGACCTGCTCTTGAAGAGGGCGGAGCTTGACATGGTTGAAAAACAAACGCGAGCATTATGACTAACTGAAAAAATTCTCAAAATGACGTATAAATAGCGTGTATTAACTGTCTTTTAGATGCCCCTGACGTCATTTCCTCCGATTCCCCCTGCCTGTACCGTTCGTCCCAGCACCGTGCCACCACCTCAACCATCCAAGACAAGAATAAATGTCAACATTTGCGCACTATGTACCAGGAAGTATGCCGGGACTATCGAGGACATTCTACTTCTGCTTGCTCAAAAGTTTACCTACTGCACCACCAAGTTGCTGTAGTCCCATGTGCAAAGTCTGACGGCAGGCGTTGCTTGGAGGTGTGCCGAGGGCAAACCTTGCCATATCGCAAGTCAAACCGGGAATCAGGGATGTTGAAAACATCTAAGGCTGTTCAGCTAACTGAAAGCCGCACACAAGTACTCTTCGCGTGTGGACTACTACATACTACTACTGAAGACGATACCGACCACTCATGGGCTCAGGAAATCGCAAGAATTGATTCTGATAAGCGAGAGAGGTCGGCGAGAAGCTCTGGAATACTGTGCGAAGGCACGGACTATGTCACTACGTGGTTCTGATGTTCATGCATCACAGGTATGCCTGGCAAGATGATGAGATTGCAAGAAGTGCCATCAAGCAACAAACGGCATGAATGGCCAAATGTTGCTAGCGTCTGGGTCTGAAGTGCTGGCCCCTGTTCCATATAGGATCACTTCGACGTTGGCAGCAACAGAACGCCGGAAGAACTTCCCAGGCCAAGTGATGTCAACTCCTGCTGACTCGTGAGGGACGGTGCTGTACGGCAGTCCCACAGCTCGTAGCCCAACTGGTGAAGGCCTTGTCAGCTCCTCCTGGCTCCAGAACCGTAGATTTCGGAAGGCCATGCTGTGGTGATGCGAACTGTCTCTTCTGTGTGTCGAAACTCAGCCCCTTCGCAGTTTTGACGTAGTAGCACTCAAGTCGTACAGAAAGCTGAATTCTGAAGACCAGCTAAGCCCGCTGCCAAAGTACATGTCACTCTCATGACTTGAATTGACGGTTTCGGGGCCAAACTGCACAACTGAAATGCTGTTCCCTGGTGATGATGCAGACGGGGCTGGCTCAAGAAAGTTTGTCGTGCCATCCACAGAAGCGCTCAGAAGCGCATACTTGCACTGGCCGCAAGCTTCCACGGAGGTGCCGCCCAGCATCAACTTCTGATCACACTGCTCAAAAAGAGACTGGTGCAAGCAAGAAGGGAGAATTGAAAGGGGCAACGTCAGTGGCAAGGCGGCCGTGAGAAACTCCCGCCGCTTAGTCACATGCCAGCAAAGCTCGGCATTTGAGAGTCTGCAGACCATCGTGTCTTTGGCCCACGCCATGAGTGTGCCGGCCAAACCAATCTGTCGATACAGTGTGGCACAGGCGGAGTAAGTCCAACACTGGTTGCTGCCCTCCCCTACCTGAGCTGGTCCCACAATGAAGTCTGCATATGCTTCTAACAAACCAACATTTGAAGAACAAAAAACCCATTACAAGGATCCAGATTTTGTCGAAGCCCCACCTCTCCAAACCAGAAGAAGTGGCAGGCATCATCCTCGGAGCAGAGCGCCTGCACAGCGGTTTAGGTGGGAGAAGGGGGGAACTCCTAACTAACTCCCTCAAAAACTAAATGGGCAATTGCGGAGGCCCTGCAGGGCCCTGCAGCCTGCCTGGCAACTCTCTTGTGCCGAGTCCTCTGCGCTTTCCGCAAGGACAATCTCCAGAAGACTCTCCTCAGGAGATCTGGTTGTCGGCTGTTATCAGGTAGGTTTCCGCGGATTTTCCGGGCTCTGCGGCTTCTGGGTCTCAGACTTTTGGCTAAGGCTATGGTGTTTTAAGGGTCTCAGACCCTCAGGGCTTTGGGGTTTTGCGATTGTCGGCCATTGAAAAGGTCCTCAGCTCGGTAGATGAACAGGACGTGCTCTTATCAAAGCTAGGCCCCGTCTAACATGACCCAAGCATTGGCTGAGATGGCAACCAGAGTGGGATCAAGAGTCAGAACATGAAAGGACAATGAAGAAAACAACTCTCGCCGATGGCAAACCATGCAAACCTAGTCGCTTGCTCACAGACAAACGCCCCGGCAGCAATCTGGAAGGGAGGTGCCTGCATGCCAGGCTAGCATGGCTAGCTTGGTGGTGCAATCTGCTTTCGAAAACGGCACAACCATTGGAACGACCCTTTGCTTGCGTTCTTGATTCTTGATCAGCTTCGGTGCCTGGAAAACATTTCGGCTGCCGAACGGGATTTCGTCGTACGCATCTGGTGACACAGGAGGATGGTTACCCCAAGCTGACGGCACGCACTGGCACGGGTGGAGCCAGAAGTCGTCTTCCGTCAGCGTGGCCGGATCGTCGAGAATCAGGCCCTGGACCTCAACGAGCTCGTTGGTGATGTCATCTGGCGACTTCTGGATTGTGTTGGCCTGGGTGACATTGGGGATCTCGCAGGATGGCACGATCAAAGCTGTCGAGGCCGTGGTGTCAGAATCATCCACTACGCTGGCCGCATAGTTCGTGAGAGACGCTCCGTGCTCGAAGACCTCTGCCACTAGGTCATCCACCTCAAAGCAGGCGACGATCTCGCCATGAAGCTCGACCTGCGAAGCTCAGCAGAAGACAGCCGAAGAGGCGAGTTGATTTCCTAGACTCCGCCACTTGCCAACATGAGCCAAGCGGCATACTGATCAGAAGGTTTGGAGAAATCATCCTGTGGATCCAACTTCCTGAGCACCCACGCCTTGTCGCAATCTGAGGAGCCGTCATTGGAAACCAGCCAGAAAGACTCTTCCTCCGTCCGTCCAAGCTTGAGGAATACTTGCCCTTGTGCCGATCCATTCTCCGCATCTGGACAGTACTCCCCGGACAGGTAGTGGTAATCGGAGAACGTCACCTGAGTTGGTCACGAACACTGCCAGAGTGAGAAGACGATGCAACAAACAACATCTCAACTACGATGGACATCTTCGGCTTCATGCATGCTGACAACAGGCATGGAAAAAACAAACAAACTGACACGTTGAGATGAAGGAGAAAACGAACAGGAGAAACACGTAAAGACACACAAACACAAACACAACACACGTACACACACAACGTACACACACAACACACACACACACACAACACACACACACACACAACACACGTACACACACACAGAACGTACACACACACAACGTACACACACACACAACACACACACACAACACACACACACACACAACACACACACAACACACACACACACACACACACACACACACAACACACACACACACAACACCCACAACACACACAAACACACACACACACAACACACAC